GAAAAGTAAATCCTCTTACTTTAAGGAGGAAATAAAATAAAAAACCTCCTATTTTATAAAAAAGAGGACCTATCCATCGAATGAAAGGAAGAGCGACCTGGCCAAAGAATCAGACTGCCCATCTGGAGGCATGTCACCCCCAAACAGTCACCACCGATGCCTGGGTGATTCCTGAGGTTCCACACACTGTCACCCGCCACAGAAATGGTTGGAAAGGCCAGATTAGTAGCTTTGTTCTTTCCCAGTTAAGGTGGAACTTATACACTGCTGATAACATTCGAATCTCATCTCGTGATGAGAGCAGAGGAAATGAATTGTTGCTTTAAGCAGGACACCCTCCTCTCGTGAATGCCAATCTTTGGGCTCTCTGATGCAGTTCAAGATTCTGCTTATTATAAATGGAAAACAGTCTGTCATGCTTTGGCATTTGCATTGACAAGCACAACATCAGAGCATGCTAGGAGGAAATATTTTATTTTGTTTCAACTAATTTATTTCATGGATACACTTAAAACACTGTAGGTACAACAGAAATGTCGAAAAGCTTCAGATGGCAATTTCTAGTAAGGAATGGTCATGAATAAAAACAAAGTGGAACAGGATGCTGTACTATTTCCTTCCTTCATTTGGAATTCAAATAATCCAAGTTCTTGGATTTGGCCTTTCTAAAATATATTTACGCATATGAATGAAATGCTGGTTTCAAATAACGTCTGTTCACAACCAGACTACTGAGTCCCAGCTACAATAAAATATTGACAATTTGCACCGTGTTCTCCAGAGTTCTGGTTCTGGTTTAGGCAGTTAGCGTGTAGCCATGGAGAGCGGAGACTCCACTTCTGCACTGACACCTGAACAGGTTCATGCCTGATTTCATCTGCTTTACACTGATGGGACAACGGCCCTGGATTTTGCCTCTTTTCTGCTCAGTGTTATTGTGACCACTAGAGCCAGCATCCACTGGTGCCTTTCAGTTTGAAGTTTCAATCAAGGGCTAGCCCAGAGGATCTGGGGGGGTTCTCAAGTCAGTTTTATAGGTTAGGTAAGTGTTTTATACATACTTCATGGCCAGAAGCTGATTATGATTGGGTAATATTCATAATAAGGAAGAATAATCAGGTAACAAACACATCTTTCTCTTTTTACATTCCCTCACCCCCTCTTTCCAAAAACAAAAAACAAACACAAGAAAGAAAATACAAGCTAAGTTTATCTTTGTTTACCTCTGGCAACAATTCATGAAATATAATAAAGTGTGACTATGTCTTGGGTGCTGGGAATATGATGATGGGCAGGGCTGCGAAGGTCCTGCTGATCAGCATCTCATACTCTAGCCAGAGGAGCAGATGCTCGAACATGCAGTTGCCATGCCATGTAGCACAGGCCATGAGATGGGCAGCTTTGGTGCTGACTGTGCACATGGCAGGGACCGCTACACTCCCCTTGATGGGTCAGAGGACTTCCTGTGGGGAGCAGTGTCTCAAATGAACTGGAAAAATAAGCTGGCATTAAGCTACATGTAGATAGAGTAGAATGTAGCCAGGGAGTTCTGGGGAGAAAGGACTAGAGGGAAGAAAGAGCATGATAAGGTCAACACCTGAAATTCAGTTGGCTTTGGAGGGGAGAGGAGGTCAGAAAGGATGGAAAGGAACCTGGGAAGGGGAAGCCAAATATGAAAAGATCTTGTATACTACTTGAAGGGATTTAAACTTAAGTGAAGCAGCTAGAAGGCTCTTGCAGTAACCTATTTTAAGTCTGTGTCTTGACCATATGTGGTGGTTAACATTATTGAATCAAACAGCTAAATCTTTCCCGCTTCTTTTCCCAAGTATAGCAGATATTATAAAATATGCAGAGATTCAAATATAAAGGATTTATACAGTAAATTTCTCCTGGAATTCAGTGTGAGAAGAACTTTATCACCAAGTGTGACAAACCACCAAAAGGATGTCTTATCTTCCATCCTTTTATTAGAAAACCAGAACTGGAAAACTTAGTGATTTTGCCTCGTAGGAAGCTCAACATGCATTTTGTGTTGTACTCCTTTATGGTGTCAAGTGTGTATTCTCTTTAATCTTTCTTTTCATTTTCTGGTTGAAAAGTGTTTTGATATTAATGTCCAGAATTTTTTCTATAAGTTAAAGGGTAAAAATCATAATTATAGCTTAAAATAGAATCATTTGAAGTTACTAGGTTTTTCCTTTTTTAACCAATAATTTTAGTTCATACTTTCATAAGAAGAATTCTTTGATCAAGGCAGAAGTCCTAGCAAAAAGGAAAATCACACTTAAGTCTTTGAAGTTTAAATATAACCAATAGCTAATTATTCTTTACTGCTGTGGGAATTATTAGATAGTCAACTGATAGGTGGGTAGGTAGATAGGTAGGTAGGTAGGTACATAAGTAGACACTGAAAGATACACAGAAAGCTATCTGAAATATATCTTGAATATCTGTGTAATGCTTTTTCCCAATATTTGAACTCTATGTATGTATGTACATATGTGTGTGTGTGTATATATAATCATATACATAATCTTATATTTGATAAATACATCAAACATAGCAGAGGCTTCATATACCTTATTTATTCATGCACCATGAATATGTGAGGTCTGTCCAGAAAGTATCCAACCATGTAATATGAAAAATAAAGATATTTATTGAAGAAAATACATGATACAAGAAACAATGATGCCTTGGTCACCCTCAAAGTAGGCACCTTGGGACCTCACACAGTTCTCCCAGTCACCATTGGCTGCCCTGTCATATTTTCTGAATCTCATTGATGGTCTGAAATAACTTCCCTTTCAAAGGTGATTTTAGTTCTGGGAAAAGACAGAAGTCATAGGGTGCCAAATCTGGGCTGGAGAGGGGCCGAGTCACCTGAGTAATTTGATTTTTTGCCAAAAACTCTGCAGGAGAGACGCATGACCTGGTGTATTGTTAATTGCCAGTTGCCCATAGCTATGGCCTTCTGAATCATCCAAATAGTGTCTGCGAAGGAATGCTCAAGCTTAACACAAGATTTGATGCAGATGCATTGCTCTACTTTCTTAGTCAGTTTGAACACAATAGCCATAAAATACACATGTTCATTCAATGGCGTCTACTGCCCCCACTGACTAGTACAGTGAAGTCACTGTCTGCGCAGGAGCATTCCAGTCCACTCTCCTTGGCTGCCAGGTTACAGTAATGTCATGCAAACTGTTCTTGTTACATTAATGATGGCGGCCTTTTCTGGACAGACCTCATGTACATATATCCCACCCTGCTCTCCAAAAGAATTAAATGGCATGTAACAGGTGAAGCAATTGTTGAAGTCCTCATGCCTTAAAAACCCCAAACCACAAATGCAACCAAGCTGACAAAAATGGGAAAGGAGATCCCACCAAATTAACAAGACAGAGATAGAGGGTGGGACAAGAATCTGTTACCTGGTCCTGCCTGTCCTCTTGGGACAAGAATAGATTTCATTCTTTAGCTTCAACATGGGAATAGCAGTTAGGAGAGATGTGCAAAATACTTGAAACCAGATCAAAAGGATAGGAGAGTTAGGAGACTATGTATTTCCTGGGATGCTGTGTATATAAGCTTTTGATAGGTTTATGTCAGAACTTGGAAGAAAATTAAGAGAGTTAATATATTAATTAAACTAAATATGCAGCACAAAAAAATGCAACTTTTTACTCAACCACACACTTCACATCTTAAGATGACATTCAGTAACTTTTTAATATTGACTTGAATATATTACATTTAAATATTTTATTATTTGTAGACAGTCTTAGAGCAACATAATTAATTCCTTCCGTTCATAAAAAAACCTATAGTGAATTATTCTTTCAACTCAAGATTTTACCCTAGGATGACAAGACTCTGTTTAAAATCTAAAAACAAATGCATCTCTTGTTCACATTTATTTTTAAAAGGAGCCAAAAAGATAATCCCCTTTTCTGAATAATATATTTCATAAAGGTATTGAACATTCTTCAAAACTGCAGTGATAATTATAATAAAGGACAGAATTCATCTTATGTCACTTTCCCCCCATAGATCATACTAAATACATCCTCCTGAGTTTAATTTCAAGTCTCTGAAAAGGATGTAGTCTTAAGAAATTAGAGAGGAATTTAAGCTCCAATTTATAAACATAATTTTCTCACAAGGAAATAATTAGAGATCACATACTACACCCATATTTTAATTCAATATTCTAAAGAAACAACTTCTGAAAGAAAAACAGCAGGCAGGAGGCAGTGTGATGACAAATTACATTAAACAATATGATTACCTTTAGCCTCACTGCATGCTTTTCATTTCCCAGATCTTTATAAGACATGAAATGAAAACCCTCAATTGTCCAAGAGGTAGATGATGAACCAATTTTCCAAATGGAAATTGAGGCACTAATATGCCTCATCATAGGCTGCAAGGATGGTCAGCAGCAGAATCAAGATTAGAAGCAGGAGGAACTGGTTGCCATCGTACATATACATGGCTGCCCAAAACATCAGTGGAATGACCGGAATAATGTTGGTCCATTCTCAATGCCTGTGTTCCATCTTGCTCTTTGACATGCATAGCTGCTGGAAGTTTGAAACTCCATTTAAAGTTGACGGCACATCTATTCTCCAATGTCAAACCCATGAGATCAACAAGTGGAGTGGTTATGTACAGAGTTATCTCAGCCTTGGGAATGTAGGCTACATTAAAGCCACATAGAATATATTTCAATAAATGAGGTCAAAACATGAAAAGCAAAATTAAAGGACACCTAATGCACAAATGAAAATTAGTACTTCAGTTCAATGTCCCTACTGTTATTCTACAGAGATATTTATGAGTACAATTAAAAAATACATTTTTAAGCATTTGGATTTGAAATTTGACTCACATGTCTATGCTGTGAGCCTTGATCTGCCTGTTCCTAAATTAGGAGGGAGTAAACATAGTACACTTTTACTGTGTTTTACGTTGAACACATCTCTTTGTAGAATACAAAAAAAAAATGTATGCTTATCCACGGCAGATAGTTTACCAGTCTCCTCCTTCAGTCCTTTAATAGATTAAAGCACTGAAGAAAACTGGATTATTTCACCAAACAGTGGTATTAGCCAAACAAGAAATAGGGTCAGAATGGAGGGGCTCTTGGTAGGGGATGCTTTGTGGGAGATGCAGGAAAATGAACAACTTTATTGTCCTTTAGGCTTGTGAGAGTCACATCCGTGGGGGTGAAGCCCAGTTACCGCAGGAGCAGCCAGTACATTAGCGATACACTGACATAGATGACACACAGTGTTATCCAGTTTATTCTTGTGATTGGTGGCCTGCGGTTACCTGTCACATGGAGGATGACATTGGAAGAGAGATTGCCACTAGAGTTTTGGGCCCGAGCCACATAGAGGCCTGCGTCTGCCCCGCATACCTTCGGAATGAACACCGAATGTCTTGTCTCCTTGTGTGAAACCTGTAAGTGTCCATCTGCAGACAATTTCTGGCCCTTCTTGTACCTGAAGCAGAGAGTCAGTTTTTAAAGTCAGGATCATTGTTTATTCATATCATATCCAATTTCTAAAAACCAATGCAAATAAGCCCATTACCACTGCAATATTCTCTAGTATAAGCACGAACTTTGCAGCTACCACAAATTCCATTGGGGCCGCTTATCCTTCAAGCAGAGGTTGGCAGCTGGTGGCCAGAGAAATGCCTGATCGGCTCAGACCACGCTTTTTAAAAATCGATTTTTTTGACACCATTTAGAAATTGGAATGCTGCATATGAAAATTCAGATATCTAACCATTCTCAAAAAATAGGCCATCTGGTCACAATGGGGCACCACTTGCTCATGGCAATTATCTAGAATGGGAACTGGTCCCCCCCTATTTGGTCTCCCTCGTTCTTTCAGCTGCTATGGACCGGCAGCTTGTGATGTCTAGAATCTGCATTGGGTGATACTCCTCTGCCCCATTATATTCATCCCATAAGAGCCACATGAGAATACCAATGTGCTGTTTTAGAAGAAGGTACTTATTATAGAGCATTTCTTAGAGAAGTGAGTTGATTTAATTAATGAATTAATTTTTTTAGAAAAAAACTATTTCTTTTTTTATAAAACATATTTTTTAATTTAATTTTATTTTTTCAAATACATTTGTCTCAAATACATAATTAGAAATAGAAAAAAACTATTTCTAATTATAAAAGGCATTTATATATTTGGATTATTACTGTTAATGACATGTTTCTAAGAGTTTCCTAAGAACATGTGTGCTTAGCTGCATCTTTTTACAAAGCAAATAATTTGTTTATTTTTATTCTAGATTCTTGTTTTATTTATATCTATGTTCCTCTACATAAGATGTGTGACAAACCTGAATTGTTTTCTGTTCCCATTGCCTAAGTGATAACTTTGCATTTTTCTGAGTGTCCTAAGAATGTATGACATCTTGCCAATTGCTAATGGAACAAAATTGCAAATCTGAGGGCAAGATTTTTTTTATAATAGTTCTTCATTATTATAGTTGCAATAGTTCCTTAATAATATATACTAACTAAGATATTTGTTATGCGGACTAAAACAAGAAACACTTCAGACAACATTTTTCTTTAGTGTAAATTGATATTTAATGATGAATTAAATATCTTTTAAATTAATAAATATGAAATCCCTGATCTGTAAAAAGCATGCAATTGTAAAAACAGCAAAATAAATCAAAAGGCATATAAATGGATGCACTGTAGCACAAGTGCAGTTTCTTTTAATCCGAGAAACCAAAGTTTTCTCATAAATTCTTTAGATAACCGATTCACATTTCAAGTACCACCAGTGCGCACACACACAGTAGCTGAAACTAATAAATTAATATCTACTAAAACATTATGATAAAGAAATGTTATTTTACTTTAGAAATATAAACTCATTCCCACAAATTTGTAACTTTATCCTCAAATAAATCTACTTAAGGAGGAAAAATTTCTAAATGTTTAAAACTAATCCGAGTATTGAGAAAATTAAAACTGCCTTTACAACAATAGTACATGAATCAAAACTTGTATTCTGCAGTTTACTTTTATGAAATTAATAGGCTAAAATATAGTATCTCCATAGTGAAATCATAGTGTTCACAGCTCAGTTATTACATCTTTCAAAAATGGGTTTATTACCCGTCACTGGGAGTAACTGTGAAAAAAATACTTTTTATTCCATCTCTCACATTGAAGAAATGTATAAAAAGAAATCTTAGTGAAAGAAACAAATTCTACAAAAGTGACGTGAGTGAATACTTGGAAAAGAAGCTGAGATAGGTAAATGAAAGAAAAGGGGAAAACCCAAATTCTTAAGTTTTTTAATTAAATAAGAGATGTTAAACCACAAAATTTTCATGCTTATGTAAAAATAAACAATAGGAAAAAATTTCAACCCATTGTCTTCAGAAATGTGGAATGTTACACTGATAGAAAAATAGCACAACTAAGTCGCAGTGTTTTTGGAGTTCGTTAAATTATTATTTTATAAGGTTACTTTTTTTTTCCTTCAGGGTATTAGTCATGCCACTATTAAAATAAGAGTTGGGGGCTTGATGTGAGCTGGAGTCATGCAGAGCTGCAGTGTCGCAGGCTATTATTACCCGGCTGTCCCTAAACCTTTCAGTTAGAGCACGTGAATGACTTGCTCAGTGATTGAACTTGTTTCTCTTTAGGGCTTGTCATTATAGGCTACCCACCATGTCAGTGTAGGCTCTGGAAATCCTGTTACTTCGACTTCCAAAGTCACTGGAGAACCTTCCATGACAGTTACATTAGACAGGAGCCTGGAGAAATTAGGTGCCTGGCCAGCTAGGCTGACCACGCTGTTCTTTGCTGACGTACTTTTAACCTCTTCTCGGGGAACCATTTGCCTCTGATAGGCCCGGCTGGGGTCTAATTGAAACCCCAGGCCCGAGAAAGCATCCTGGGAAGCATGCAGCCTGTCTCGGGTTTTAGTGACATTATTATCAGCATGCATTTTCTCCCGTGTTTCTAGCAAACTTTCCTGAGCCTGCAGGTGTTGTTGTAAAGCTCTCTCATGCAGTTCACTCGGCATGCTCTCAGGGTGTTTAGCACTGATTTTGCTGATGGCTGTACTCTTTTCCAGAAGTCCTCTGGAGGTCAATGGGGGCTCAGCTTTGTAGTGGGGGTGAGGCTTCTCGAAATCACTTGAAAATGTTTCTCTCTTATCATCGCAAGTATCAGCAAAAGCAGCAGGTGGTGGGAGGCCAGATTCCGGGGCCTCCCCTGGACCGCTGGCCCCAGTCTGCATCCTGTGGCTGCTTATGTGAAGGCTGAGGGAGGGGCTGGCATGTTCCTCTACCTCCATGTCAGACGGGGCAAGGGGGGAATCGGGGCTCCCGGGGAGTGGAGGCAAGGAGATGTCATCGGGTGAGACACACTCGTGTTCTTCTCCTGAAAGCATGTCCGCAGGCAGGAGCGGGCCTCGGGCACCGCCCCCTTTGCCAGAGGAGAGCTGCTGCAGGCCCTCTCCTGCTCCGTTGATGGCCAAAATATCCGTTACCTGCACCTGCTCCTTCAAAACAGAAAGCCAAAGCTTTGCATTAGTCATTGAGTTTCCTTTTTCCATGTCTCAGACTCAACGTCAGAGACACAACTTGAGAAAAGCTACAGTGAGGTGGAGCTTGGGGCCCTGGCTCCAGCGTTACAGAACTTGAAACCATTTGTCTATTTCACCCGGGGAACAGTTCCATTCCATGATGAGGGAATCGGTAAACTGACCTCCAGTATCTGAGTGAAATGTGATAGACCTTGCGAAATAGAAGAGAGGAAAGCGTAGTTATCATCTCTAATGGAGGGTGGACTAGATAAATGTCTTTTCAAATCATAATCTGAGGAGTCTCCTCTCACCAGCCAATTCTGCTTTGGTTTAGTTGCCTGCACTCCAGGTGAGCACAGATCCCAAACATCAGAAGCTCCCTTGTTAGGTGGTCTCTCGGACTCTACGAGAATGATCCCTCTCCCTTCTCAGGAAAGCCATTGTTTTTATTTTATTTTTTTATTATGGTAAACTAGATGTAGCATAACATTTACCATTTTTCCGTTTTTAAGAGTACAATTAAGTGGCAGTAAATCCATTCATAATATTGTGCAACCATCATCGCCAATCATCTCCAGAACTTTTTCATCTTTCTGCAGTGAAACACTGTGCCCTTCAGACACTAATTCTCCATTCTCCCTCCCCCCAGCTCCTTCTACTCCCTATCTCTATTCGACAGCTCTAGGTATTTCATACAGAGAAAATCATTTTTAATGACTAGTTTTATTTTCTTAAAGCCCCTTAGTTTTATTCTCACATTGAAAAACACCTACTGAAGAGCCTATGGTATACTCGGCCCTGCTCCTGGCACTGGAGAGAAATGATGAATACAGTAAATACAGCCTCTGCCTTCGGGGAGATGATAGTTTAGTGTGGGATGTAGATATTAACTGGACTGTCCCATAGTGCGACCTTTCACAACAAAACACACCAAGATACAATAGAGGAACACCTGCCACTTACTTTCTGTCCCACATGGTGTGTAAGTCATGCTGGGAGACCATAAATAGCAGCACAACACTACTGCTCACACTGTTCTGTTATTTCTTCTCACTAATCCACTTCCACCTCTGGCTTAAGAAGAGGCTCAAATATACTCTCTGGCAAAGGCTCAAGAGAACAGTGAAACTGAAAGGGAGCTCATCAATCCCAACTTGCTTCTTCTACATATTCTTCTTTTTGTGCTTTTCTTCAGCATTCTGGTTGTATTTTTACTTAAATAACCATTACTAGTTTTTGTCCCATTGCTACACAGGCATATAAGAAAGCTACGTCTTGCCTTAGCTTTGAGTTCTTCATTTTAGCATGCAGTCCTGCTCCTGACATACTTTATAAGTGATTTTTGAGAACTAAGTGTGTGTTTAGGTTGAAGATTGGAAGTAAAAATAAAGCAGTGCTCCTTCTACAAGCTGACAGACATGACTTGTTTTCAGGGAAATTATAAACCCAACGTAGAGAAAGTGTGTCTGTGTTTTTTTTCCTCCAGCAATTTAATAGAAGTTTAAATTCTGGGTCTAAAAGCCAGAAGTTCTTAATAGTCCCTCTCATTATAAACAAACAAACAAACAAAAAACAAACATACATCCAGTAGGGAATGCCTCTCTTTCTTTTGGTCTTTCTACTACAACTTAGCTCTGCCTCTCTTTTTATTTCTTTCTGAAAGTAGAATGTTGATTTGTCTTTTCAGGGGGGCGTTGACTCAACTTCTTATTCAGTCTAAAAATCTCCTCTATGACATCTGGCAGCCTTTGTTTGAACACTTTTCCTGAAGAGTGTCTTCTTTGAAAATATTTTTATGTTTTCTCGTGTCAAGAATATCTTTCTCTATTTAGCAAAGGGCTGCCTTCCCTTGGAATCCACCAGTGGATCTGAACGGGCCTCCTGGAGTGACAGGGATGTCCACCTGCTCTCCCTTTAAAACAGCCCTTTGACTAGCTGGAGAATTGCCCCCACAACCCCTCAGTCTCTTTCTTTGCGCTGAAAATCTCCCAGTCTTCTGCCTTAACTCCTGGAACGTCTATCATCTATCATCCTGATCACCATCCGGAAGGCCCGGCTGCTTCTGGGCTTAAGCTGCTTCACAGGAAAGCAGGTATATTTGCCCAGCAAAGGATCATCCAGGGGCAGGCAACTCCTTAATGACTTCTTTGAGTAACCTATGCCTCTCCAGAAAATAATAATGTTTTTAAAATGACTGAAAATTTTCAAAAAGGGAGAGAAACTTGAATAAACGTCCTGGCTAGTCTCCCCACTCTTCACTCCCTCCTGAATGGGAACTGACTGACTTGCTTGAGGGTTTAGAAGAAGAGACTGAAGAATCTTAGCTCTGTCTCTTTCATGTTCTCTCTTCTGGATCGGCCTTCTACCAAACGGGTACATTTGCATTGGCTGCAAGGCATGAAACACCCCCCCCCCCCACCAGGAAGCCTGTGGCTGTCTAGTATACACCCAAGTGGCTAGGTAGACAAACCTATCTAAATCAGAAACGAAATTTTGGGAGACCCTCTAGATAAATCTGAGTCATGTCCTCCAGTCCAGCTTTTCCTGGTTATTGATTCCTGACTGCTGTATCTCACTTTCAGATGGTGCCAATCTCAAGAACGTAATCCAAGAATATTATTTTTTCATTCTGTACAATTCCTAAAGTATAAAAATACTTGCTGCAGAAAATAACACTACCAGATTACTTCTACTGACAATAATAATGAGTTTTCCAAAACTTTTTTAGAAACTTTTCAACTTATTAATATTCCCCATAAATATGTTTATTTCCATTATTTGTTTACTTTCCAGAATGCAAAGCAATCAGTAGAATCATCATCTCCTTGATCTATATATGTTTTTATTAAAGTTACAGTATTAATTCTTTTTTGTTTATTTTTTTTATAAGAACCACATGGGACTATTGATTCACACTGAGTTTTTAATCAACTAAAATCTCCTACTTTCTCTGTCCATTAATACCATTGATAAAAATGTTGAACATGACACAGGTCAGGACAAGGCCAGCTGTCTCCCAGGGCAAGGCAAGCCGTCCAGGTTGACGCTGATGAACTACTAGACACTCCTGGGTACAATTACAACCCTGCCAAACTCTTGCTCAGTCCACATTTTTCCACTTACCTTAAGAGAGATACCATGAGTGTGTTTATCCAATGTCTTCCTGAAACCATAATAAATTTTGCCTATGGCACTAACCTAAAACTGCCCAGTAAACAATCATCTCAGAAAGCAAAATAAGGTGAGTTTAATTTAAGTTTTCCTGAGTTAATCATGCTGGCCTTTGGCATTTCTACCTTTAATTTCAAATGAAAATAAGCTTTTAGTTTTTAGATCATTATGGAATTTTATATAAATTCCTTTTAAATCTCACTGAGTTATACTTTCCTGGGTCTGCTAGTTCTTCCTTTATGAAAATGGTTCTGAAACATTCACAAATGCCAACTATTTTTTCACATTTTCCTACCATGAAACCATTTTTTGCTGTCAGTAGAAAAAACTGTGTGTGTGTTTCTAGAAAAAGGGTGATTAATCTATATATCTCAACATGGATAGGTCAGATTGGCATCAATCTGATAAATTCTGGAAAAAAAGGGTGGAAAATTCTTATCGAATTCACCACAGCACAGCTCACTCACCATGTGTTTCTCTGATTGCCTTGGTTGCTCTTTGTCTTTTTTTATTGATTCCCTTTTCCCCACTTCTAACTATATAGAGAAGATTACATTCTCAAATCTCTACATACTTCGCCCTCAAAGATTTCACCCACTTTCACATCTAATGACCAGTTAACATTTTAAATATTATTATTATTATTTTTATCCTCACTTGAGGACATGCTTATTAATTTTAGAGAGCGGGGAAGGGAGGGGGAAAGAGAAAGAAACATCAATGGGTTGTCTCTTGTATGCACCCTATGTGGACCAAACTCACAACCCAGGCAGGTGTCCTGACCGGGAGTCAAACCCACCACCTTTCAGTTTACAGATCGATGCTCCAATAAACTAAACCACACCGCCAGGACATGGCCAGTTAACTTTTAATTAGTCCTAAGCCTGTAGCTTCAGACCTTATCTCTGTCAGGATTTCTGAACTTTCAGTTCCATTAATGAACATAATCACTTGGATTTACAATTATTTCCATGTAGGCAAACACAATGAGTGTCTGGACGACAGAATATGATGATATTCTACATGCACTGAACTGAGTGTATAGCACCAGTCCTTAAAGTACATAAGGCAGGAAGCCATCCATCTATGTGGTAAATTTAAGAAAACACCGCAAGACTTTACCTTCCAAAATACCTCAATAGATAGTCTTATCTTGGGCTAAATAAAATTAAATGAAGCTAAGTAGAAGTAGAGAAAGAAAGATATTGAACACAGGGCTTAGCCTATAAAAGACCTTTTTGGGATTTGGAAGGAGCTTTGAGCAACCAAGGAGTGACTTGACACATTTGGGCACGTGGGTGGACAAGAAAAAAGAGAGCAAAAATGTGGTGAACAATGTTTTTTCTTTCCAACTTTTTTCAAAGTAATTGTCTCAAGGACACCTGTCTCCCAGGTAACCAGAATTAGAGGAGGAGGATCCAGGGACTGCCCTCAGTCTGATAAGAGCACTCCACTGAATTGTTTGGTATAGAAGTAATTCTATGCTATTGCTTTGATAATCATATGTAAACAGATGAATGCAAAGAGGAGGGAGGTCTGGCGTGGGAATCTACAGTATCCTTACAGAACAGCATATTTCCATGCATCAGTTCCTGGGAGCTCCATTTGTTCCTGTGGAAAGAGTCACATGGCTGCATTTCAGAGCAACTGGGCTGCCTGCCCAGTTCTGACACTATTTTTCTGTAGTTTTTGGAGGGCAAAATGTTTAATCTCTTTTGGCCTCAGTTTCCTCAACTGTAAAACGAGATTTGATCAGATGATTGTTAAATCCCTTCCAGCGCTAGAATCCTATAACTCTTAATTGTTGGCATCACAAGCCTTCACCTTCTACTGAACAGTTCTGTGACTTTAGGCGAGCCTCTTAATACTCTGTGCCTCTGTTTAACCTGAGTTTTCACATATTATTGTGGATTTAGCTTCGGTCCTCACCTTGGGGATAAAATACCATCACTAATCTGTTAGCAGCGCAATGACCATTACATTGACTGAATTGCCTAATTCCACCTGCTGCATTTTTGGGTCAGAAAAATGAGAAGCACTTGACTATTTCCAGGAGAAAATCTTGTGATTAACACATTCTTGTAAGAGTTTGGTGGAATTGTTCTGAATTACGTCATTTTTCTGAGGAAAATCAACACAAATTAAGGGTGTCAAAATTGAACTCAATGATACCTCAACAACATTTAACCTGTCCACATGGTGTTTGGATGAATTATTACATCGGACCTACAGTATAAACGACAGAGATAGTCAGAGGGTAAATGAGGTTGAGATGTTTAACAGTGAAGACTACTGTTGCCCTTTCGTTCTGATTTCTGTACCAACTGTACCAGAATGTATATGCGAAATTATGTCAGTGAGGGTTCTCGACAGCTACAATTGTGGACCTTCACCTTCATCCCAAATAACTGGTGAGCTATCATGTTGTTTTATTTATATTAAAATAAAAACAACTTTTCAGTGAAAATAAATCTTCTTTTTTAATTATTGAAAAGAACTTGACCCTGACAACAGGGTGGTGATTGCTGAGGGGAGGGGAGGATAAGGGGACAAAATGGTGATGGAAAAAAAAATAATAAAGATTATATATTAAAAATTTAAAAAATAAAAATAAATAAAAGCAAGAAAACTGTTTTGATTAAATATAAATGCGTGTGTTTGCTTTGGTCGCAATAACTTTCATTTTTAATCTTGGTAAATATTTGGTTGGCAATGTAGAGAAATGTGCATAATTTTAAAAAATATGATGTTGGATTTAGTATCTTTTAGAAACTTAATTAAGAAAATGTGATATGTTTAATATTATTCTTTATTATTTTCTAGTAGGTTTTAGTTATGAGGGTGGTTTCAGCTGCCTTATGAGGGTGATTTTTGCTCTCCAGGGGATATTTGAAAATTTCTATAGACATTTTTGGTTGTTACAAGTGGGTGTGGTGAGGGGGAGTAACTACTTGAAATCTAGTGAATAGAGACTAGAGATGCTGCTAAACATCCTACAATGAACAGCACAGCCCAAACAACAAAGAATTCTCTGGGCCAAAATATAAATAGTATTGAGGTTGAAAAATCCTGATTTAGACCAATCAGAATAACCAAAGACTAAGATATAAGACTAGTGTCCTACAAGATGACCAATTTGGCAGTTTTCCTTTGCCTTTGAGAAGAACCAAGGTGTAAGTGCCTCAAGGTCACCCCACAGAAAAAGGCAGCTTGCTCACTGGTTCTTGCTGCCCAGTGGCAGTGTAATCGAGCTAGATCTTTACATACATTTAACCTGTGGAAAAGGACCTATAAACAAGCTCTAGGAACTGTATTGACTTCAAGGAAAGGTAACTATTTCCCCATGAGATAAGTACACAAGTGGAGAGATTTTCTTTTTTTAAGACTTGAGACACAAGAAATATATTTTATTAATTTGGGGCAGTTGAGAATATCGTTGATTCTGCCTGTCCTCTCAGTTCCTTGGCAGAGGGAGCAGGCAGCTTGGCAAAGCAAAAAGTCCAGAGGTAATTATAGTCCAGCAGCTATGAATAGCGAGTGACCGACTTAGGCGGAAAATCCAAAATGATGTGATTTAAATAATATGTTTGATATCATGATACATTTGCATTTTGTGAGTATTTGCAGTTTTTGCTACATGCTTAATTTATCTGTAATGCATAGGTTTTAAAATAATTTAAACACTTCTCCAAATAGTTTAGTATTTATATTTTAGTTGGATACTTTATTTTTGTGCCTAGAAATACCTTAAAGGCAGATTCAATGGGAACAAGATACAATCTCATTTCATGTGGCAAGGTTTTCTAACAAAATCATAGCTTGGTGGTGTAATAAAGAGGGAGAAGTAAAATCTAAAGTTGGGATTGACTAGAAAAGGACAATGGGAAAGGCAGCTGAAGACGGGACACACAGAGGTGGTTTGGGGTGACAGTTTCATGTTTGAATGGCTGCCCCAATGTCACTGCACAATGCTGTGGTTCCAGTATTCATTAGGAGGGGCTCAGAGGTAAAGAGCATAGAGCGAAAGGACTAAGGAAGGTGCAGAAAGGCGGTAAGGGATGAGGACACTCACACTGCGCTTACATAAGGAGATTTCGTTCAGATACGTGAGAAGGCTTCAGTTCACTTTTTTTTTTTCTTTTTTTGCAATGTACAATGACTTGAACCCCAGAACAGAAGCAATCAGTAGCTGAGGCTACATAGTTTTCTTTACCTTATTCAATTCTTCATTGAATATTGTCCGCTTATTCCTTACTGGTTCTTTCAATAGGTCGATGCAATCATCATGGAAGTCTTCTGAATTCAGATTCCTCTTTAAAACGTCTCCCTGCTAAACAAAGGGATAGTCAGTGAGAGCCTGGGCCAGAGAAGTTGGAGGAATAGCACCACATATTAATCATGTGGAAGAAAATAGGCCCCTTGCAACCTGTTAGTAAATGTATTCTACAAGAGACTGATGTACTCCCATCATGTGACTTATAAAATTATCCCTCCAAGCTCACAGTTGCCCTCTGCGAGACATGACAATGTACAACATAAATGGGAGGGATGTTGCAGACAATGGAGAGCAAAGCATCAGAGGATGCAGCAATTTTCATGTTGTGTTATCAGGAGTCAGGAGAACAAACAGATCCTCAGGAGGCGAGGTGGAGGTGGGGAGGAAGTGACAAATGTTGAAAAAGTGAAGATGTATAGCACATTCATACATTACTGGTGGCATTATAATTGTAAAACATTTATGGAATATATATATATTAGAAACACTAACAACTGATATTGTTTCATTCATATATATATAATGTTATATATATAATTATATACATATTATGTATATATATAAATTTATATATAATATATAAATATAAATAAATATATATAATTTATATATTATATTAATATAATTTATATTATAATAATATATAATTTATAATATATAAATTATCTTATTAAATTTATATTTATATATTTATATAAATTTATATAAATCTATATAGATTTATTTATTTATATATTATGTATATAAAATAATATATAAATATATAAATATAAAATAATATATAAATATATAAAAATATATAAATATATAATAAATATATATAAATATATAAATATATAAAAATATAAAAATAAATCTATATAGATTTATTTATATATTATTTATATAAGATAAAATATAAATAAATATATAAATATATAAAAATTTTTATATATAAAAATTATTTATATAAGATAAAATATAAATAAATATATAAATATATAAAAATTTATATATACATAAATTATATATAAATATATAAATTTATAAATTATATATTATTAAATTTATACTTATATACTTATATATTATATATTTAAATATATATATTTTTATACTATATATATTTAAACAATATATATAGTTTCATTCATATATATAATGTTATAAATATATAAATATAAATATATATTTACACTATATATAGTTTCATTCATAAAAATATAATGTTATATATATATATATAAAAAACATTAATAATTGTATACCCATTCACCCAAATCTGGAGAATTCATGCATAGGTAATAACAGAAAAGAAAGAAAAAGCTATATGCATGAAAAAGTTTATTGTACTGTTATTTAAAATGGTAAAGAAGTTAAAAAAAATCTAGATTCTTAACCAAAGGAAAAAGATAATTTGGTTGAATTAAAAGGGTAGCAAAACATTTTGAGGGAAACTGGTATTGCAATTTAAAAAATGGAAATTTATACAGAAAAAAATGGTTGCTGGAAATTCTGCTGTGAACTGGGAGAGCGTCACTTCGTCTCAATAGGAAGAACAATCACAAGGACAAGCACGGGTGTCTTCACATGCAACCCTAATGCTTGGAGTTAGGTTTCACTATTTCCGCCATCTCACAGATCAGGAAACTGAGACTCAAGAAGATTAAATAATTTACGCAATAGCAAACATCCAATAATCTGACAAGTTGGCATTTCTGGGCTGCTGGGTCTGACTCTAGAGCCTGTGCTCTTAATCACCTCACCATTCTCTCCGTCTTTACCAGTTCTTTCAGCCAGTTGTAAAAACAGCACTAATAAACCCAGTTTTTAACATGATATAGAAAAAAATATGTGTGTATATATATATATATACACATATATATATATAGTCTCTTTTAAGTGGATTTTGCCTAGAGATAGACAAACATATTTTCTATATAGTTTTCATCATTGATTTTCTTTTTTATAAAATTTTTTATTGAATTCACAGGGTGACATTGGTTAATAAAATTATATAGGTTTCAGATGTACAATACTATAATACATTGTCTGTACACTGCACTGTGTGATCACCACCTCAAGTCAAGTTCTCCCATCACCATTTACCCCCGCTTTACCCTCTCTTACTTCCTCCCATCAACCTTTGCCTCTGGTAATTACCATACTGTTGTCTGTGTAAATGAGTCTTTTTTCTTTGCTTAATCCCTTCACCTTTTTCATCCAGCTTCCCAGCCCTCCTCTCCTCTGACAGCTGACAGTTTGCTCTCTATAGCTTTGTGTCTGTTTCTACTTTGTCAGTTTATTTTGCTCATTAGTTTCCATAAATAAGTGAAATCATATGGTACTTATCTTTCTCTGACCGGCTTATTTCACTTAGCATAATATTCTCTAGATCTATCCATGCTGTGTATAAGGTAAGATTTCCTTCTTTTTATGGCCAAGTATTATTCCTTTGTGTAAATGTACCACAGCTTTTTTGTCCACTCATCTACTGATGGGCACTTGGGCTGCTTCCAAATCTTGGTAATTGTATCAATAAATGATGCTGCAATGAACATAGGGACGCATATATTCTTTTGAATTAGTGTTTCAGATATATTCCCAGAAGCGGAACTGCTGGGCCACAAGGCAGTTCCACGGGGGATGAACCGATCTGCATTATCAGTTGTATTTTTATTCACTAATAATGAACTATCAGAAAGGGAAACTAAGAGAACGATCCCAGTGACAACTGCATCAAAAACAAAGAAACAAACAAAAAAACCCTAGGAGTAAATTTAACCAATAATGTAAAAGACCTGTACTCAGAAAATTATAAGATACTGAAGAAATTGAAGAAGATGCAGCTAATTGGAAGTATATAGTATGTTCATGGATAGAAAGAATGAACATCATTAAAGTGTCTTTACTACCCACAGCAATCTATAGATTCAATGCAATTTCTATCAATATACCAATAGTGTATTTCATAGAACTAGAATAAATATTCTAAAAAATTATGTGGAACCACAAAAGACCCTGAATAGCCACAGCAATCTTGAGAAAGAAAGTTGGAGGAACCACATTACCTGATATCAAACTATATTACAAAGCCATAGTAATCAAAATAGCATCGATTTTCTATTCCATAAATGATGCTAATGATTAGTTTAATATTCCCTTGAAGTTAAATGTTCAATGAATATAATGAAGATTAGTTCTATTTTCTCTGGGGCCACAATATGGAAGGTGGAAAAACTTAAATTCATTATTTGTGGACAAAAACGTAAGGCTACTTAATACAGATTTTAGTCTGATTTTAATGGCATACATTTATCCTTTAGGATATGATCCATGAAAATGTAAATGAGACACCTTAACTGTGTTCAGCCTGCATTCTCTGCAATGTTTTTTACTGCAGTGATGGAAAAGAAACAGAATTAATTGTCAAAAACACCCAGATAATTATGTTAGAAAGCTGTGAAACAAATGTGCACATTTTGTTCCTTGAGATTTTCCTTTAGAATATCTTTCCACCAGAAGGCATTTGATCAACACATCTTTATTTATATCATTTGAAAATACATATTTTGAGAAGACATTACCTTCAGCTTTTCTTCGAGCTCTGTGAGAGAACAACATAATTCAGTAATAGATTCAAGAACTTCTTTGTGTTTTGCCACTATTTTTTCAACATATTTCTGCCCTTCTTCAAAGCCTGGGTAGGACAATGAATAAAATTATTTTTATTTTTATTTTATTTTTAATTTTAGTTTTAATTTTTAAAAGTCAAATCCTTGGCAGAAAAAAAAACCCCATTAATTTATTTCCCCAGTGTTTGGTGTAAGGGCTGGTAAATAGCAAGTGCTTAATAAATACATGTTGAGCAGATAAATAAATGAAGGCATTGTTATGGGCTGAATTGTGAATTTCCAAAAATTCATATGCTGAAGTCCCAATCCCCAGTATTTTAGAATGTAACCATTTTTGTAGATAAGGTTTTCAAAATGGTAATTAAGATAAAAAGAGGCCATTAAGGTGGGGCCCTGATCTAATATGACTGGTGCCCTTATAAGAACTGGGAGAGACAACAGGGCTATGTGTGCCCAGAGGGGTGTCCACGTGAAGAGGTGGCCAGAGGGTGGCCACCTGCAGGCCGAGCAGAGAAGTCTCAGGAGAAACCAACGCTGACAGAACCCTGCCTTTCAGCCTCCAGAACTGGAGGAAATAAATCCCTGTTGTTTAAGCCACCCAGTCGGTAGCATTTTGTTATGGCAGCCCAAGGAAACTAACACATACATGTTCAACCTTTCTTGCTGCATTTACCATATCATGATTTCTAAGGCTAGACCGTGGATTCCTGAATGAAAGAACTAGATTTTATTCGTCTTTCTATCAGTTAGAGCTCCTAGTGCATAATGGTTATTCAAAAAATCTTTGAGATAAGTTTACTGGCATTAAAATTCTGGGTTTCAGGAACGTTTGGGTGGCTTGCAAGAGTTGATATAATATTCCTAAAGTATCTTATTCAATGCGAAGTTTTAAGAATACATAACACCCATACTAAACAGAAAAAGACTCATGCTGTTTATATATTCATTCAATGATTCATTTATTCATCAAATATTTGTTAAGCACTTGGTATGTACCATGAAGCGGTGAACTAATAGGCAAAATCCCTTTTCTAATACAGTTTATATTTTGGTAAGGAAAGGCAGAAAACAGACCAATAACTATAATATGTTGGTTGATAATAAAGATCGGGAATACAAAACAAAGCAGGATACAGAATCATGCATGATGGGAGGGAAATGAGTCTTGTGAGTACTTACCATATCCTAAAATTGAATAGGCACGGAAATACAGTGATAAAGTATACTTCCCGTGCCCTCAACAAGCTTATAGTCAGCAGGGAAAACACAAATAAACAGGCAATTATACTGCAGCATGAAAAATATAATAATAGAAGAAAATATATACAGGGCTATGAGAGCAGAGTGCCTTCAAAATTTCGTGGTGCAACTTTTACAGTAACAATAGTAAGAATGCAACATCACGTTAGCTTTCATTCATTTTTCAATCTATATTTTATTATTTTATGTTTCTACTCTTTATTGGGGGAAATCTTTAACAATTCATACCTGATAAATTAATGTTAGTACAGTATATATCATCCTACAAATTTTTAGAGAAAATGTCCCTCTGGCAGCAGCTGTGGCAGCCAAAGCAAGCATTTTGTAACCCCCGTTGCTATCTTCTTTTTGGGCTGAATTTGCCTGGTCACTGGGATAAGACTTGGTCTCGTAATTAACAATACCAGGGAATCCGTGGAACTTATTCCTCAGCGCCCTCAAGGACTGCCATTGTCAGGAGGTTCCTTAAGTGGGGGTCTCCTTTAGATAGAAGGACTTCTCAGATAACACAGCTAACAACTGACCTTTCCTAGTCATGGAGAAGAGGAGAGGAGAACCCATGAGATGATCATTTTAGTTTTCCCATTTATTCCACAAGTGAGAGGAAGGCAAGAGAAAATTTTCCAGCTCTTTCTTATATGTACGAACCATAACCCTCATAGAAATGAGATGGCTGAAGACTTCAGTCTTAGCTTGATATTTAAAGTATTATGGGAGTTTTTATGTTTTTCAAGGAATCATGCTAGTGGAAATTAGTTTTGTTCGTTTGGTTTTTTTGTCTTCATAAACTGAGTATTGTCCTAGTTTTATTACCTTGGAGTTAATCAACAAGAACAGAGGAGACATAAGATAGAGAAGGAGGTTTTACATAAGGTAGTTAAAAAATCTGCAGGCTTCATCTGCAGAGAGAAGTTGCTTCATCTGCAGAGAGAAGTTCCTTCCTCTGTTCCCTAGTGTTTACATCTGTTGGTTGTGGGCTCTTATCTTGAGCCTTTTTCTTGGATAGGTTGGTGTAGAGAGGACTCAGAGGGCTTGCCATGCTCTGCTTTCTGCTGGATTGGGTTCAGTTTAGGTTTGTTTCATGGGGAATCACTGCATATTTTAAAAAAGACCTCACCATATAACCGCTGAGCGAGGTCACTGATCTCCCGAATCCTTTCTTCTTGCTGAGGCACTGAAGGCGTGATGAACTTATTGAACTGCTGGTGGAGAATTTCCACAGCTTCTTTTGTCTGGCACTCTGTGGAATATTTTCCAACTCTTACAACTGTGGCACTTGCATCTTCACACCAAAAATGACACTAAATTGAAATGGAACAAGGCATAGATTAAAGAGACACCATCATTTTAATGTTTTTCATTTTTGGCTGCTGAATTTAAATTTCCTCAAACGTTATATTCACATTATTTTGAACTCTCTAAGTCTTAATAAAAAAAAATATCAAAACATGATCATATGCTTTGTACTTGGATATGAGAGTCAGATAAGGAAATAGAAGTATGGAAATTTGTTTGATTTTCCTACCTGCTTAGATTCGCCAGAAGCATAATTACAAGGAAGGATGTTGCATACATGCAAGAACAGGCAGTATGAAAAGAATGCATGGTATTAAAAAGAATCCACATATAAGCTAAAAGGAAATAAAAAAGCCCAAACACACAAAATACAGCCTAATTTTGTTAATTGAAATCATTAACAATAAATGGATAGAGTATTGCCCGATCAACACAAATAAGTTCTCTTTTAAGAATGAGATTAAGTCTGGATTGAGGAAATACCATCTAAAGAATAGCATTTGATCTTTTTTTTTTTTTTTAAATAGAAGACAGTCATTTTCAAAGCACAGTTGAGAACTGAAAGAGTTTCCTCACTAAAAATAAATGACCGCAATGGAAGGAGCACATCTCACCAAGGCCAAGCCCTTACACTGAGTGAGGAATGGAAGCACATGACTGCTAGGAGCTAGCTTCAACTGAGTGCCACAGAGCTACAGCAAACCCACATGTTAGATATAGAAGAATGATCTTGACCCTTCTTAATATGGTGTTAAATCTAAAATCTCTATTGCATCAGGGGTAGAGAGAGATTTATTTTAAATCTCAGAATAATAGGCTACAAAGAACACTCAAGAACTGCAAGTGTAGATTTTCTTCAGTATGAAGTGTGCAAATACAATAATAACTTTAACTCATCAAATTTCATATATTTTATGTATACTCTTCCATTTATCCTCGTAACAAAAATATAATACCAATAACAGTTTTCATACCTGAAAAATCCTATCACTTTTTTCTTTCTAAACATTTTCATATTCTGTGACGTAAATAAGTCATTTTGAGTATTTTAAACAGATACCCAGCAGTAAACATAATCCTGCAATGGGTCAAACACCTTGAGTTGATGATGTTATGGAGCAATGAGAAACTCTCATATGTTGCTAGCAAGAGAAAGTCAGTAAAGTCTTTCTGAAGAGCATTTGGACAATACACTCAAAACCTTGTAACATTCATCCCCTTGGGCTCAGCAAATCTACTCTGGGAAACTGTCCTAAGAAAATAATCATGAAAAGGAGCATGAATCATGGATTTAATGACAATAACAGCTAATGCAGCATTGTTTTCAAGTATCAGGGTAACTGTCTGAGACAACATTACAGTATGGATACCACTATGAGAAGAGGGTACCTCTTCGATCATCTCCTGGAGATGCTCAGTCAGGTCCAGATTCTTCTTGTAATCTGTTACAACTTTGTCAAACTCATCCACGTGTTTTTGCAAATCCTTCATGGCCTCCAAAAGGACAGTGACTTTATTATTTGCATAATTTAAGGAAGAATCAGAAGTCTTATTCGCAACTTTTTCCATTTTCCTTTTCAAAGCCTGTGCCAAAAAAATAAAGTTTTTAAAATAAAATTCAATTTTTATTTAAGAGACTAGCTAGTAAATATTGGAGAGAAACTTGGAAAAATTCTTGCAGCTTCCTCCATTTTAATATGCTAAAATCATAATTACTACAAATGTATTTTGGAAAGAATAAGTTAACAAACAAAGTGGAGACAGACTCATGGATACAGAGAACAGACTGACCGCTGTCAGAGGGGCATCTAGAATTGAAATGCAAAGTGATTTCGCAGTAATTGTAGTAGTACATGCAAACAGATACGCACTTTTTCATTACCTGTATTTTTTCAGCATGCATATCGACTTGTTGAATTTGGTATTTCAGAGCCTTCAGATTCTTGGCTTTTTCATTTTTCTTAGAGTAATTAAACTTCAAATTGTTAAATTTCTTTTTGATATCTTTGAATGACTCTCTGAGCTGCAGGTCAATAAAAAGAAAGAGATGATTTCCTTAAAATGAGAACAGTAATATTCACTTGTAATAAATGAAAATATCTAAATATTTCAAAATGCTCATAATCTTCAAAATGTATTCAGAGTGCTTTTCAAAAGAAAACAAGTCTGCTAAGTGAACATACAATTGAATTTAAACATATCCCCAAAACATAATTATGAATTCATCTTAGTACTTTCAGAGTACTAATTTATAATTAGCATTACAGTTATAGAATATCTTTTGGCCTATAACCAATAAAGTTTTTTAACATATGATAAAATTTCAACAGCTCTTATTTTCTTATTTGTACTTTTTTGATATCATTTTTCCATTCATTCCATTCTCTGTGTGCTAATATTTGTCCCAGCTCTTTCCATCTCTTAATGCCCTCTTACAAAGGAGCTGCTCATGTTGCAGAGGTCAACGACGTTTTGACATTGGGACTATCTAGAATTTACAGAGGAGACCCACCATGACATACAGTAGGAAAAGGACTTATTAGCCCAAATTCGGCAAAAATTGTTTTTTATAAACAGTTTCAAATAGAGACTTAATACTTAGATATAGACCATTAACTTGTCCTTCAAAAATGAAAAAGTAAAGTGATGGTTGTCACCAATTATAACAATGCTAATATATGCATAAACAAAGTCTATGGCTACACGTTGAGAACAGGGCTAGATTATGACAGTCTTAAGAACAAACAACTTGCCTAGTGAACGAAAATTTTAAGCCGTCAGTTCCACTGAACACACTGCTTTCTGTGCCTCTCTCTATATTCAAGAAGAATAAACATATTGACAGGCCACTCTCTCTTTATGTTATCAGCAAAGGAAAGTACAGAGAAAACATAAACAGTCTCAGATTATATGGAAACATTTTAACACCAAAATGAACAATGCCATGTTTGATAAATTTGACTATGATAAGGGAAGTCTAAAAAACATTAAAATTCTCTTCAATGACACCAAATAAATTATCTTGGAGGGAATAAAGGCTGTGTACCTGCTGTATTTTAAACTTCTAACACAGAAAAACATATTTGCATTAGAAAATGCTTGCTTTCTCAAAATTCTTATTTCAGAGTGTGCATATTATAAAATGAAACTTTGATCTTACCTTTAACACTTATTGTAGATAATTATCTATAAAGTCTTAGCAAACTTCATACCTGAAATCAGTACACTGATGTAAGTTTTGCATCTGACACACTTATACTTAATCAGCATTGTTTATTTCATTTGGTATATAAAAGTGTTGCATTAGTTTTAAGCTACAAACTAAACCAAGCACAGAGATCACATTAAACATTTAAGCTGATAAATCAGTAACATTCTAAAGGAGCAGGAAGAATTATAGCTTTAAAATTTGAAAACGGTTTCTCTATTAGAACTCAAAAAAATATTTAAAAGATCCTATTCAGTTGTTTTATATATATATATAATAACCAATTAATATTTGAATTCTTTGACATTTGATGTTCTAAAATGCATGTGTTTAATGTTAGTGGGAAAGGACAAATAAAGTCAATTTTATGGGATTGAGACATAAAGAGATTATATCCTGAATTATTCACCTAATACGTTGGAAGAAATTTTTTTCTTTGAAGTCGAAATTTGTAACTATCATTATAATAACTATAACAACTAAGGAAATCAGAGACCCTTGTATCTTTAAGAAAACATGTTCTCAGTGGGGCATTAGAGTTTAATTAGTGCAGAGTGTCCAATTTAAGATGGTAAAGTTCTGGAGGTGGAGCGTGGTGATGGTTGTACAACAATGTGAATATACTTAATATCACTGATCTGCACCCTTAAAATGGTTAAGGTGGTAAATTTTATATTCTGTGTATTTTACCACAATCAAAAGTAAAATTTTTGCTTTTCATAAATATAAATAAAATTAAATTAAAAATAAAGCAAAGGGTAAAACTCTAACATTTCTTATTACTGTTTTCCATTTAAAAATAAAATGTTATATTATTTTTTTCTCCTTACTAGAACATGACATAATATAGGGTAAGACAAAAGTAAATTTATAGTTGTGAGTATGAAAAAGTTTATTCTTGCATTATTTATTAACCATTGTATTATTTTTCCGTATGAAAAACTGTAAACCGACTTTTGCCCCACCCTGTAGTATACACTCCAGTACAGAAAAAGGAAGAGGGGCCCTGTTATCAATCTGATAATTGTCGGATTACATCTGCTTGTCTAAATGGGAAAGATCATCTATTAGAAAACTACATGATGAATGGAGAAAGGCTGACCCTTAACCCTTTAATTCTAAACCATGAAATTTTAAGTCTACTTTGGATGAAGAAATTTAAGACTGATAAGTGATGAGTGCAATTTTATTGCTGTTTGTTTCAGAATGCACGCACTTCCACTGAACATGATTTATAAGGCCAAAGAACGTTCATGGCACTATGGGTATGTGAGATGGGATCAGCTTTGTTCTGACACATGAACTCTCTGACAAAATTGTTGGCACCTTTCCCTTTTGGTGCCACTGGAAATCCATCCTAAACCTTGGGCCTTTCCCAGCTCAGTTCAGGACTGTACTGCAGCAGATACGAGTGGAAGGCAGCATACATGAACTACCTTCGCAAAAAAAAAAAAATCTAGTCATGAATAATTGTCTTACCTGCCCATTTCAATATAAAAACTTAACTTCCCATTTAATCCCCACATAACTTGTCATCATATTTTTAAAGCAACTGAGTGCCACGGTAGCTTGGCTGTGGTATTATTGTTCGTGCAGCTGTTTCTAACTTTAGTTAGCTTGTCAGCAATGGGGAATGGTGGCCATGGCTGGGACAACTGGTCAACTGGAGCACGTAAGCCAGAAAAAACACCCCAAGCTTGGGGCAAGGTAAGGTTTACCCAATCAGAAATATTTAAATGTTATAATTCATATTCATAACATTTAGGAAAGTCTTAAGAAAATCAGGAGGGAGATTTTTTTTTTCCTAGTGAATAGTGTGATTTTCCTATCTTCCCACTGGCTCAGCTCCTCCATATTTGCTATGGAATGAGCAGACTAAGTTAATGTAGCTATTATTAGGAGAAAAATATTAAGACTTTAAAACTGTAGTTCTTTTGACACTAGCGGTATGAGCATCTTCACCAAATGTCCCAGGGAGCAGTAAGCCTCTCTCAGGGTTAGGAATGAACAAAGCATCTTTGAGAAGAAGCAGAAGAAAAAGAGGCTGATGACTACGAAGGTGGCTTGCTATTCTTAGCTCTGGTTGAGGCAGCTTTGGCACAAGAATGTGTTATTAGTGAGTCTGCTGCTGACGAGACCAATTTATGTTAGAGACATGGGACATTTTAAAACTAAGGAAACGCATTTCAGACAAAAGCCTTTCATTAGAACTATGGCACATGTTTGGCCAGAAGCAAAAACACAAAACAAGTAGTCCATTTCTCTTAGTGTCCATTTCATGAGCTTTATTTCTTGCCCACGTTGTGCCTGTTCCAGAAAAGGGCTTTCTGATTGATGCTCATTTTCAGTAAGAGGAAGAGAATGTTATCATCTTCCAGGGATGTTTGCATTTGAAATGAAAAGATTCAAAGACTCATAATTTAACCAGAATGATTTGTTATATAATTATTAATGGTAGACTATTAAGCCTTTGTGCTGGAGAGATTCGAGACAAACTTTCTGGCCCTTCCTTCCATAAAGCAACTGCACCACTTCTTGCTGTGTTTAAGACCAGTCTTGCAGCAACAGAAAGTAGGGCAGCTTGGAAACAGGAGACACTGTTTCGTTTTAAATTGCAGATGGCAGCACGTCTCAGCAGTACCTATCTTATCCACTCTGCAAGTTTTGTGTGTTCGTAACATATTTAAGTTTTATTTTCTGGACTTGATAACTATGATTTTACACTTCGGCTTTCTCTATTCTCTAGCAACAAGAGTCATTTTGCAGATGGAAAACACCAAACTTGTAACAGATTTTAACCCTATGAGAGGGACATTTTCAGAACACATTGTAATAGTTCCTATTCTTTTGCAAGCACCATCAAATGGGCTCACAGTGCGGCCTGAGAGTGAGTGGCTGGGACTAAATCCCGTGGGCTTTAATTTGCCCTGGATTCTGTTTCCTGAGGATTTCTGCATTCCAGTGACCCAGCTGGCACATAGTAGCCAGATGGCTATTTGCTGAATGACAGCAATTTAGTTTTTTTCTTAAAATGATGAACTGGAAAAAACAATTATCCGTGCTGTCCCCATCAGGCATTTTGCCCATCTATACACCCATTTTCTGCGTCTCTTCCTGCTGCTGAGTGACTGTCCATGGTCAGTTTGTCAATGACAGATCACCATACAATGTCAGAAGGACATTAAAAGGTTTAATTTAATAGTTGTGTATGTGTCTATATCTTCGCCATTCTCCTATGCTACTTTATTGCTTCTATTGTCTGCTTTGTATCCCTTGGACTCAGACGAATTACTTATCCAAACTGACAAAAGAATTTGTGTGATTAGAATATTGACTTTGACATATGGTAGAAAGATAGATAGATAGACAGACAGACAGATAGATAGATTGTCCTTTTCTCTTTCTCTCCTGATGGGTTAGATGTTGCTACAGTGCAAAAAAATTCAAACTGAAGTAATATAATTATATGAAAGCTTCTGAATGCAAAATTTATTTTGAGAAAATGAGCACCAACCCAAATCTGCCATTACTATTCTTTTCAAGCAAAGTAATTGTTTGTGGTCTATAATGAGACTCTAGCTACAAATTTCCATTAGCATCATGTAAATGTAAGGTAATTTTTTTGGCCAGATTGCAAGAAAACATGCTCAATACCAACTTATTACATTTCTAAATGAAGACGTGTAAAGCATGAGTAATGTTCTGTCATATAATATGGCAGAGAATGTCTATAACATTTGTGTATTAACAACTTATTTATATTGCCAGGCAAGAAAACACATAATGAAATACAACATTCATGCATACAAACGTATCTGTGTGAAATGAGTGAGAAAAAAATCACAAAATATGTCAGTTTGAAGGCTGTGTTTTCTAGTAGGTAGGCATGGAGAAAATGAAGTTTTATAATTCCCCATGTCATACAGTGCAAGGAATTAGAAAATAATATTTTACCCAAGGCACAAGTCCATGGTTTTTTATCTTTAAGGAATTTCTACTTTTCCTTACACTTTTAAAAATCACATTTAGAACACCTCACTTTATTTTGCCTTGAGGTATCACATCCTTTTCTAAGAGCCATTTGTGTAGTTAAAATCATATAAGTTAATTATGGCAATATAAAAAAAGGTAATTTTGGTTGAAATAACCAAATGAATTGTGCTATTATATCAGGTCATACAAACAGCTATATACATATACATATAGCTATGTATATAGCTATTTGCATGAATATATATATAGTAACTGCATGGACTAAAACATTAAGTGAATGGTGAACTCTGAGCTTAGCAAACGACAAGTGTGTTGGTTGCCAATCAATGAGCCACGGGCCCACAGTGCCTGAACCTGTGAGCTGCAACTCTGCAGTCCTGCCACATGATGTCAAATAAAAATCATAGACACTTCCGTTTTCCCATAGAAAATCATAGACACTTCATTTCTGAAAAATGAAGATATGAAACCAGACATCCTCCAAAATTCACTTAAACTCTGAGTCTATGAACTTGCAAGAAGCCCGTTAAGCACATTAGAAGAAAAGCAATGTGTTTTCAAATCAACATAAAAAGCCAAATGCTATGCATGGTCTAGTTCCCTGGTAAGGTATCTGACCTGTTTTTATACAGAAAAATAATGTAGTGGAACATACTGCTTTTAATTTTATATAATGTTTGAAGTACCTATACCAAAATTAAAGATGATAATAATAAAAATGTCTAGGCGTCAAATATTATTACCACTTGGAATCTCGCCATCTGTTTGCACTCCGATATTCATAATACAAACTAGAACACACGTACTTTTATTTTACTAAAGGGCCCTGAAAATAAGCTAATTACTGTCCCATTTAGGCTCCTGGTTAGAAAGTCCAGAGTATAGATGCTACCCTGTGACACGCCTAATATACCTATACAAGGAAGGAAAGGGGGAAAAGGAATAAAAGTTTTCAAAGACCTTTTAAATGTGAAATTATAACCTACTACAAAGACTACTTGGATCTGAAGTAGAAGTAAATAGGAAGAATAGCTGTGTTAATATTTAAGGTCATGTTAGAGTGATATCTGATTCCTAAATCAAACCTGCACATATCTGGTTGCTCATTCCTGCTAGGGAACAGACAATCCTGGGGCATCCTTACTATGACTGGAAGAGCGATCTGCTTCCCCTGCCAGCTGGCTCCCAGCACAGGCTCATCACGAGGCAGCCCCTGTAAACAGACCCAACTGTGGGAAGGGCCTGCACAGGGAGACCCAGCCCCATAAATGCCACAGCGCTTTAGGGAAATGGAAACTGAGCCATAGGGGATGGGGCATAAGCCTTAGCCAGCCCCAATTGTGGTTTCAGTAAATAGCTGAAATCACAGCAGCGAGAGCGATTTTCAGCAAGACACAAAGTTTACCACGAAGAAGAAGACAAAGAAGAACAAGAGGAGGAAAAGGAGTAGGGGAAAGAAAGGCAGGGAGAAGAAGGAAGAAGAAAGAAGATAACCTTGGTGAAAGATACTAAACAAATTGCTTTCATGGCTGCAAATCTAAAATTTATAGCCTTGGGGAGAATAATGCTCTCCTTGAGGTTGCTGTCCTTACCAAGGCCTGACTGGAGTGTCATTAGCTGCAGTACAGGAACCAGAAGAGGACATTCTATTACCTAGAGGGCAGGCTACACTACAGGTTAATCCCAAACGAATCTCTAGCCCAAAATGACTGCCTTGAACATAGACTCCGAGCAGAAACTCTACAGTCCTGCAGCACATTGCTAAGATGAAAATGGTTTTTGATGTCAGTTCCTGCTCCCCTCCTGCTGAATGGGATCCAAGTGGCCCCGCCTGCTCTCTCCTCTTACCTTCCTGCCTTTCCTTCCAGCCAGACTTGCCTCCTGCACTTGTCTGTGGTCTCTAAAAGGGAGACTTGCAGGAAAGGGCACTTCAGAGCTAGACCACTCTTCCAGTTTAGCTCCAAGTTCTTTAGTCTGTGCTCTAATGTTGTTTGATAATGTTTGATATGTGTTGGGCCTAGATTGTGTAAACTGAATGTCCTTCTTCCCCCCGCCCTCCGCCTCTTTCTTAATAGATTTCTGACTAATGGATCTGAAATTATGGTACCTTGTGTTCTGTCAATTCCCCATCAAGAATTGGGACCCTTGCTATCCTGGACAAGTGAGGCTTTAAATGGCAATTTGACTAGGGGAGTGTGGTGGTTGTGGTACAGTATGTATCCGGGGGCTGAGGGTCAAGCAGAATTGAGGGAGAGGAGTTGGAGTTATGTGGCAAGGGGTGCATTGATGCAGAGGATAATTTTCATTTGGTACTTCTTTTTCTTTAGGAGCTCTTTTGCCAGAAAACTCACTCTAAATAAATATGAAACTAGCCACTTGACTTTGGTGGTAATTACCTCGTAGCCTCAGAGGCGAAGATCCTGCTCTCCTGACCCTTAGCTCCCGCTTTACCATGAGTCAGTGGCCCCTAAATAGAACCTCAGCAGGCTGGAGCCGGCTGTGAAGGGACACTGTCACCCTTTCCGCCCTGGCAGGCTGTATGCACTCAACCGGATGAGTGCTACAAGGGTTTGAGTGAGGGCAGAAGAAAGTGTACTGTCAACTGTAATACTAAATTCTAGGTTTTTCTATGCATTGACAATGTGCTGATTTCAACAAGTTTGAGAATTGAAGTTTACTCAGACTTTGAGTTCTGAGGCCGTTGCTCCATGGGTTCAAGGTCAAAGGTGAAAAGGATGTCTGATTCTCTGTGTGTGCACGCACAGGCTCAGACACTGAGGCGCAGGCACCAGGTTCAGACGCGTGCTTCAGGCGGTGTGTCAGTTCTGACCACTGCCACCCACCTCATTTATCTCGTCCCTCGTGGCGCGGCACTGCATGCTGCGGGCAAGAACCTGCTCGTGCTCCTCGGCTTTGGCACGCCAGGTCACTCTCTCCCGCTCGAGGACGTCCAGCTGCTGCTGTAGGTTCTTTGCAGATACGTTTGAGCAGTTCTAGAAGTGAAAGAGAAGTGGCAGTGACAAAGGGAACAGGCAAAACAGGAGTGAGACGCATGTGCCAGGTACCTGCATTATGAAACTCATAAATGACATTTAAAAAATAGGCTCCTGATTTATTTTACCTGAAGCATATTTGAATATACTAATTTCCAAAAGAAGCCCGACACCCAACATGATGGGAAAGGCAAACCATTAGACTTCAAGTCTTGAAACTTCAGTTTTGAAGTTTGCTCATCACACCCAACTCCTAAGAGACACCATTCATTATAAGGTATAATTTTTACTTCAAAAGGCATAAAATATGCATTAGGAACACTCGGCTTCTGCACTGTAATTTTCCTGTCAACTTGAGCTCAACCTCAGGTTCATTATGCAAGCGCTCCCATCTCCACCAAGCGGAGGGTGGCTAAGGCCACGGCCAGGCGTGGACTGGAGAGCAATTTACATTATTTGTGCAAAGTGAGACGCTTTACTTTTTTTCTCTTAAAAACGAATTGACTAATAACATAAAACTCTTTAAAAAGAAAGCTCCTTCTTGGTAAAAATAGATTCTATCAACAGTGACAGATATTATGCATTCTTATATCTTTCAGTTGAAAAAATACTTTAGGTTCAGTGCATTCTATGTAGTTTAGTGGATATCTTAAATAAACTTAAAAGTGTTATTATTTTATTAATATTATACATATTGGATAGAACAAACATAATATTTTCTCCCTCAAATTAGGAATTTGGAGAAGGAGATATATATATATATATATATCATATATATATATAGTCTGTCTGGTGAAAATCCACCTGTTGTTAATTGTGTGACATCAACGTCCTAGCAGCCAAGGAGAATGGACTGGAATGCACATGAATGAACAATGATGACTTCACTGTACTAGTCAGTGGGGGTGGTAGACACTGTTGAGTGTGCATGAAAACTGTGTGGCCATCACATTCATAATACCTGAATGAGTGGAGCAATGACTCTGCATCAAATTTTGCATTAAGCTTGAGTATTCCTCCACAGAAACTATTTGGATGATTCAGAAGGTTGCAACTATGGGCAGCTGGTGCTTCATTATGACAATGTACCTACTCATGCATCATATCTCATGCAGAGTTTTTTTGCAAAACATCAAATCGCCTAGGTAACTCAGCCCCCTACAGCTCAGATTTGGCACCCTGAGACTTCTGGCTTTTCCCAAAGCTAAAATCACCTTTGAAAGGGAAGAGATCTCAGACCATTGATAAGATTCAGGAAAATACAAAGGGGCAGCTGATGGCAATTGGGAGAACTGTGTGAGGTCTCAAGGTGCCTACTTTGAAGGGGACTGAGGCGTCATTGTTTCGTGTACAGTGTTTCTTGTATCTTGTGTCTTCTTCAATAAATGTCTCTATTTTTCATAGCACATGGCTGGATATCTTCTGGACAGACCTTTTATTAAGTCAGAGCCCAATGTGTCATTTATAAAAATTTGGTCTGGAATTATTTCCTTGTCTTTTAGACACCTCTGTAATATCCGTCCAGTGGAATAAAGCAGATCCAATGTCTAGTGCTCAGAGCCTTTGATCTTCTCTAGGAGGCTCTTTCATTCTGGGCTTTTATGGATAAAGCAACTTCTCTGGGCCTCAGATTCTTCATCTATAAAATGAGGCTCGATGATCTCTAGGATACCTTGCCAATCAGAAATGCTAAGGCAACATTATCCAAGGAATGTAACATGAGCCACATAAATAATTTTAAATTTCCTAGTAGTTATATTAGAAAGTAAAAAAAAAAAAGGTGAAATTAATTTTCATAATACAGCTTAACAAAATATATCCAAATATCAACATTTTACCACATGACCAAATATAAAAATATTAATAAGTTCTTAATACTGGTTTTGAAATCTGGTATGCATTTCACACAGCACGTATAAACTTTTGCTAAATTTTCATCAGAAATAGTTGATATGTATTTAAATTTCAGAGTTTATACTTTAAAATGTCAATTCCCATATCCAAGTTGTTCTGCATATATTTAAAAGTCTCCCAATAACTGCATTAAGTGTCAGTTTTTAAATTGAACCTAATTAAAAGTTTAGTTTCTCACTTGGATTAGGCACATTTCAAATGCAAAAAACCTGGCTGCTGTATTAGACAACACATCTCCACCATTTTTTAAAATTAGCATGAGAATAGATGTATTAAACTAGTCTTATAATCAAATTTTTCTCCTTGAAATGTTTTCCCTTTGTTAGAGGTGGTAGAAACTCACCACAAATGACTACCCAACATTGCAATGTATTTTTAAGTGTAACATCTACTAGGCACTCTGCCTGGTCGCTCCCCTGTGCCATGCCCTCTCCCAGCTGCATTAGGTGTGAGGGGTGGCCTTCTAAGTGGCTTACAGGCCGCTGCACTGATGAGATGATGTCCACTCCCAGGCAAAGGGCCAGTTTGCAGAGATGGTCTACGTGCGCCTGCTTTTCCTGAGAGCGACTGAGCTGAATCTGGGCCTCCTGAGCATTATCCAGGTCCATCAGCTGTTCCAGAAGCTCCAATTCCCTTGATTTGATGAGATGTTCCAGCTGGAATATACAGCATTAACAATTAACATGAGTTTCCTTTTAATGAGGACAGATTTTTAAAGCCTATTTCCTATAACATATTTTACTAGCTGGTCAAATGCTGCCAAGCCCATCTGCAATTGTTAGGGTTACAACCAAATGAGAGTTACGATGCTGCAAATCAATAGGGTAAAACTGAAGGGTTAATGTTGTCATTTCTATTAAAGAAGAAAGCACTCTTTTTGGTCATAGCCTAAAATCTTAGAAAGATCTAGCTTTGTGATCTGAGTAAATTTAGAGGCTATTTTAAAGGGATGTCAATACATTGCCATTTTCTGTTAATACAGGCTAGTAACTATGAATTTTCACCGAGCATTCTATGATGTCAGGTCCTTGAGATACAAAAAAAATTGAATGTGTTTTCTTCCCTCAAAGAGCTTACACTTGAATTGGGGGTAGAAAGCAATTAAAAATTGAGACTCTAAAATGACAAATGTGTGGAATAATCAATGAACGGTCTACAAATTTAGAAGAGAAGAAAGTCATCCCAGTGAGGTAGGATCTCTGGAAGCAGGGTTTAGATGGCTGAGAAGAGAGAAAGGGACGTGTCAGACGATGGCAGCCTAAGAGTCAATGAGTTAGAACGTGGGTGGCGCCTTTGAGGGGCAGAGCAGGGCTCTCTGGATGGAATAGAAGGGGGCATGGAGGTGTAGTGAGAGAAAAGTCAGAGGCCAGATTGTGGGAAGCTTCTAATATCAGCATAAGCAAGCTGGCTTCTATTTATTATACAATACTTTATATTTAATTTCATAGTTTAAAACTGAGGGCCCTCCCGATAGCCATGACAAGTCTCACCTCTTCCTTGACTTGGTGGAACTGGACTACCTTGTACAGGATGTCCTCATAGTCTTGGATTCTCTCTTGCTGTTTTCGATGAAGGTGAATGAGGTCCTTGAGCTGTTGAGACTTCTCTTTCACAGGGGCTCCTTTGCCATTTAATGCTTCTGATTCTTTTATGATGTATTGAACCTCATCATTCAGTTGCTAAAATGTTGACAGCGATAAAGAAAATACAGCTTTCAGAGAGCTTTTTACTTTATGATTGACTATAGTAAGAGCTAAATAGCCAATCATCTCTCATTTGCTAACAAAAGCATTGTGAGCCTCACCCCAAGCCCTGCAAATCCAGGTATTGTGTTCGATGCCAGGGTTGTATTATTCCATCTCTGTCTTCTCAGAGAGCAGTGGAAAAAAAAGTCTTAATTTTAAAGTTAGGGGGGTGAAGTGGAAAGTTATATATTTCTGTAGCTCACCAAATATTTTAGTCCTCTGCTATGTAATGTATTTGATATACTTTATGAAGCCATGATCATCTTCGATATTTAATACAGACTAGAATCAGGTGGTATGGGAAGAACACCAAAAGAAGACAAGTATATAAATATATTAGGGGAATTACTTGTCCTCTGTGATTAAAGAATGATCAGAATGAACCACAGCTGAGTAGCCCAGTAGATGTGCTGTTTTAAATGTAGTCATCCCAGAATCCACAAATAGCCACTGCATGTCGGGAGGAATAGACTGCCTTCCCTTTACCCAGCGTTACTCAAATATCCCTCATAGGAGTCCAGGTCCTGGGGTAGAATGTGCAAAGTGTGGACAACTCAAAGAGGAAGCTCCAATAATTTCAGGACTGGATCTTAACAGCAAAGACAAAAGTAACGGAAATCATTTAGAATAAGGAGATAATCTGCAAAAGAGTGACCTAATAAGAATCTTCAAGTGTAAATCAAGCACGTGGGTATCAAATATGTGCACATCACAGAGACAGAGCTAAAGAAGCTGTATAGTCCCTAATTCAGAGGAGTTTACACATGTGCACACTTCTGCCTGTGCAGGGCATGGGCACATGAGCACACGTGAAATGCCAATAAGCATATGACACAGGGTACGTCAATAAACCTAACCCAGGCTAACTGGATTTTCTAAGAGTTCACTGTGGGCCACAATGTCATGTGTTTTGTGTGTATGCGTGCAGGGGGGTGGGTAGGTGATTATGTATTGTATTGGTTTGTCTGAAAGGAACATTAATTTGATATTTCCTACAAGAATCTTCAACCTTCTAATTCCAAGATTCTTTAAAGCCAACACTTACAAAGTAGTGACAAACAGAAACACAGGTATCTTAACTTTGCAACAGAGAACAAGAATCCAGGCAGGAGGATTACATGACTGACCACCATTTTTGGCAGTTGTGTCGTTGCGTCCCATCTAGGAGTGCTGGGAGGTGGGGTGTGGAATGCGTTAGTAGTCAGGGCCTGGGAACGTGACTCATGGTTTTCCCTGTCACATCCTGAGGGCTCTTGGAGAGGGAAAATAGGAGAGCAGAGCAAAGTTCCTGGGAGGATGGGAGGAGCCTGGGGAAGCAGTGGGTGGAGACAGTGACATCACAGGGCCATTCCAAGGGCAGAGGGCAGCACAGCCTCTGTGTCTGAGCTTGTTCACCCTTGTTTTGAGATGACTTGCTCTAAAACAGGTCTGTACCCCTTAGAAAATAACTACAATAAATATATATGATGAAAACATTAATAAGAAAATAATTTAATGTAAACTAGAATAATCTAAGGCTACTCTTAGGACATTTTGTAGCCCAAATGTTTGTATATCATCAAGTCCACAACAGTTCAGAAAAACAGTAAGAAAAGTGTGTTTTCAAGTGGATTTTTTTTGACAAGTACTGCTTTTGTTTAAAAAAAAGAAAAAAGTAATTCACCAGTCTGTTAAAGTTAATTAGGTAAACTGCAACCGAACAGTAAAGAACAATTTTCCACTCACCCAAGTCCATCAGTTTGTTTCTTTACCTGGAACTGAGGCTTCATGGCATTCCATTTCTTCCTGAGACCTAAAATGGTCTGGAGGCTCCCTCCAAGGTCAAGCGCAGACACAGGCATCAGTGCTTCCTGAAGGAGTTTTAAGTTGTGAGCAGTCTGAAATAAACATTGGATGGTTACGCACGTGTTCTTTGCCACCGCCAGGAAATTCGTTAGGATCATTCCAGTGACGACACGGTGTGTCATCCAACTTTTCAGTCCCCATCAAAACAGTCACCACCTGGAGTGAGCTCGTGGTTCTAAACTCCATCAGTAAAGAAAAACCTAGGCCCTCGTTTTCTTTACCCCTTTTGGCTTTATTGTGGTAATATATACACAACAAATTTTAGCATTTTAACCATTTTTAAGTGTGCATTCCAGTGGCATTAGTACATTCACATTGGTGTGTGACCACCAACACCATCTACCTCGAGAACTTTCTCATCATCCTTAATTGCAACTCTGTACTCATTAAACACCAACTCCTATTCCCGCCCTCACTCCAGACCCTTGTAACCTCTATTCCACTTTCTTTCTCTGTGAATTTGACTACTCCAGGTACTTTATATAAGTGGAATCACATAATATCTCCCCTGTTGTATCTGACTTATTCCACTTAGCATAATGTTTTCAAGGTTCCCCATGTTGTACCATATACCAGATTGTCCTTCTTTCATAAGGCCGAATACCACCCGCTGCGTATGCCCTCACCTTTCTAAGTTGCTCTTTGAACGCTGCCCACTGTTGTTTCACAGGCTTGCTTGCGGTGGCTTTAAGCTGCCATGCCATCCGAAGGCGGCCAAGTTCTTCTCTTTCTGCCTGCTGGCTTTCCATGGTGTTCTCCATAATGTGTGCTTTATTTTTCACATTTAATATTTCATTCTCTTTTGCCTGTTAAATTAATAATGCATACAATGGCTTCTCTTTCCCAAGAAATATAACATTTTTGCATGTAAATACTCTAGGAGGCAAACACTTGATCACTGCCAAAGCAGAGCACAGGCAGTTCTGAGATCAAGACAAGTCAGAAATGCCTGTGCAGAGGCTGGGCTGGGCCCTCAGCAGCCACATTCCATGCTGGGACTGCAGGTCCTGAAGTCTCCGAGACCTCAGTGCAGTCTGAGATACCTGCTAGTGTCTGGTTATTTCCTGGGCCTTGAGAGGGTGATTGAATGAGCTCCTGGATACAGAAATATTATATTAAAGTCAAGGTTGTTTTAATGCATAAGTTTTAAAGTGCATTCTACCTTTCATTTTAATACACTCAATAACAGATGTCAAAATCTCAGGGAATATGAGGGGGCAGGTTTTTCTGGTATTTTTTTTTTCTTTAAACTATCTCATTAGTTGTATATATTACAACTATTTTAAGTTTCCCTTGTGAGCACTTCCTCAAGTTACTCCCTTTTGTGAGAACAGAAATGTGCACCTATCTCTCTCCATACTTGTATCCCCATTGGGCACCAGAAGCGCAATATCTAAATTTAGAGACTTCGCTTCCCTGCTTTAGGTTCTGGCTGGCTGGTCTGAAATCCTTTAAACCATGGTTTTAACCAAGAAGAAATTCAATTGGAGGCAGGAGAGTGAGAGGTAATGGGTAAGAAGACAATGTGCTATTTTATACGCAAACATAAAAAACTGCAGGAGAATATTTGTTTGGCAAAATAATGACTTTTACTTTGATGGTCAGTTTTTCTCAATAAATCCTTGAATTTCTAAGAAGCAAATGTATGCGGATTTCTATAATGACAATGACAACTAAATATCAAGGGACCTTTTAGGTTGGAGTTAGAAAACACTGTCAGAAAGATGTAACAGAGTATTTTAAATAATAGGTTATCCTATTTTTAAGTTATTTTAAACAACATTAATATTGCATATTTATATTATTAATTTAGACATTATATAGTGCTAATTAATTTCAAAAATATAATTGCAGGTCCTAAATGAGATTTTGCCCATGAATTTGAGGATCTAGGAATAAAGTGATATATTCTGTAATTATGATTAACAATATGCTAAATATTATGAAAGATATTAAACAACTCTACCAGGATGTACCCCAAATCGTTATTTTTATCAATGCTATAAATAAAGTTAGGGTACCTTTCATCTATTATTAAGAAACTATAATCAAAATGTAACACAATATAGACATTAATGTGCTCTTGGAAATGACAGCATGCCAGTGACAACTACCGTCAGCAGGGCACGATGGTGTGAGTGAGGGCTAGGAAAGGGAGCGCAACTGGCAAGATTTGTTGACGGCTAGATGGCAGGATCCAAAAAGAGGGATTATGCATTTGGCAGACTTGAGTATTTTGACCTCTTGGGAAGATTAAACAATCTACCTGAGGTCTAGTTAGTAAACATGCTACTCATTCCACACATCTGTGTAAGGACACTAAACTGTCTATTTTCCATTTAGACTCCGGCAGAGTAAACGGTCTGATATCTTGCTTTGTAGACACCTTGGTAACAGGAAGGCCTCCCAGACAGCATTCTCGGTGTTCCCCGCAAAACATTTGTAAATTGGCACTTTGATCAAGATGTCTGCCAGATTTCTCACTTAAATCGGCTTCTCCCATCTTGATGACTTTTAGATGAACTGAAAAATTTTCAATTTCCAGCTTGAAAACATGGGCCACGGCACCCCAATCAAGAGCAGAACACTCAGCAGGTGATGCCAGCTGGCATCTTCCCTTCTTCACGCCAAACTGGTGACCACATTTCAACAACAATGTCTGTTTAAAAGCCTACCAGTCCAAAAGATAGGAAGAGAAGTAAAAATATGTTTTATTTCCTTTACCAACCATTTATCTCAGAATGTTACTGAACCAATAATGGTAACTATTATGTGAATCGTAATTCTTATCAATAAGGAGGAATTTATATTATGACAGTAGTAAAACATACATTTTTAAAACAATGCCTGACATCTGATAAATTTGTATTACTCCTGCCAAGATAGGGCCACAGGACTGGAAAGGAAGAGAAACAGTAGACAGTAGAAACAACTCCAGGTCCAGATGTACGAATTAGCTGACATGCACTTTAAAATGTCCATGATTAATATAGTTAAAAAAGTATAGCAAAGGTGGAGAAGGAGAGAACAAGAAAGAGAATTTCATCAGCAATTGATATCTAATAAAAAAGAGCCAAATGGAATCTTCAGACCTGGAAAATAAAAGTCCTGAAATGAAGTTAGTAATGGGCAAAAAATGCAGTTTGCAAACATTTAAATTCTCTTATGATTGCAAATCAGAGAAGTACACAATCAAGAGATGGAAGAATATATACTGAACAAAGTAAAAATGGAAACAATAGATGATAGGTAGGTAGATAGATAATACAAGGCCTAAATGTTCCACATTAAAAATTACTTAATTGTTTTTTACAAGCACCTGTATAACATAAGAACATGGGCAAACTGCTTAGCGAGTATGCTGTGATTCTTAAAGATAGTATAAGATATATTAGAACTGTTTAATGTATATTTTGTTTCTTCACAAATTGAACAAGAATGGCCTTTTAAACAACAAAGGTTGAAACAAAGAAGATGATGTCATTCTCACTATATTTATAACATTAAGGAACTCAAGCCCTAGGCCTTGAGCTAAAAAACAAAGAAGATAAAGAGAAAATTGCAGCTGAAAGTAGATGAGGTAGTTAGACAGAACCTAACTCTTCTAAATGAATTCAGGCTCCAAACTGAGATTAATCACATCTCCAGGTACTAAGAAAATTGTAGATGTCAGTTATCTTTGCACAGCTACAAAAAAATAGGTGAAGGGCCAGAGAATCAGAGAAAGAAAAATGCTTTGACTCGCAAAGGGGAGAAAAGGCTGGGCTACACAGACTATAGACTGGAAAGCTTTACAATGAAAACCAGTGCAATAAGTTCATCGTTGATCAAGAAGTTTGTGAGCAGTTTGGAAAAGAATCCTTTGATCACTCCGAGTCAACCTGATTTCTGCCAAATTATTTTTATGCAAGGCGTAGGACGTTAGATAGGGGTAGAATTAAAAGCAGGAAAGAGGGCTAATATGTTAGACAGCAGATACGAAATTAGTTTTATGAGATGGAATCATGGGTGGAAATGAATGAAATAACACTAAATAGGGGTAAATATAAAGGTCCACATTTATACGTAAAAGATAAATAGCTGACACAAATATAAAATGGGAGAGACCTAGCTTGGTGGGAATTGTAACAAAAATGCATGAGAGTTTATTCAATCACAAGCTTAATATGAATCAGCAATGTGAAATCATGGCTAAAAATGAATGCATCATCTTAGGTCTCATTGGTAAAGAATAATGTCCCTTTGTTGTACTCTTTGTTGCAGTTGTACTTTGCTTTTTGGTTACATTTTATGAACGATTTTGATAAACCATAGAAATTTCTGGGAGGAAGGATCAGGATGGAGAGAAAAATGAAGCTACTCCTAAATTATAGAAAGGATTTTCATGTGGTTTGCTGCAGAAAAGACTCAGATTTGATATAGCAACTATTTTCAATGTCTGAAGGACTTTCATGTATAAGAGAAAAATAAATGGGAGTACTTTCCCTCCTCTCTTGTGTAGCTACAGAGGGTTATAACCAGATATGAAGTCAGATTTGATTTAGTGTTTTAAAAAATGTTTTCTAGCAGCTGGTGTTTTCTAACAATGGAATGAGCAGTTTCATTAGGAAGACATTTGAGGTATTAAAAGAGAAGTGGATTAACCATCTTTTAAGAATTCTCAAGAGAACTTAATGTGGGTGAGAAGTTGATAGAAGGATTCTAGAATATTTTACAGATATAAGTGGAACTAAAGTTAGGGAACATTTCTAAATATAATGGAACTTTACTATAAAAAGATCTGCTATAGTAAGAAATCATTCAAGATCAAAATTCATCCTAGACATTGACCTGAGCCACTGGACCTTGTTGCATATTCCCAACATAACTTAGAACTTTTGAGTGAACTTCTACGTATTAATAAAAATGATGCATTTGGATTATAGTTACTCTTTCTTCTAGACAGCTAAAACCTCCATGTTATAAACTTATGAGAAGTCTAGGACTCAATAAACGTAGAAATGCTGGTCTTCAGCACTGCTTGAGGTTGAATGACACTTTTACAGAACTTTCTAAACTCACGCTGCTGATTAAGTGATAGCTGAACTTTTAAATTTATGATTTTGACTTTGACAAGTAATCCTTGCAGATAGTGTAACTCTCATAATGTCATTCTCACCATATTCATTAAATTAAGGAACTCAAGTCCTAGGTCTTGCAGTAAAAAACTCCTCTTCAGAAAGAGCTTCCACTGCCTCTCAGCTGAGTCAGACCGATGCTTGGCTTCTGCGGTGTCCTCTTCCCGCCGTGGGTCTGTAGTTCGGTAGAACTCCTTCAGGCGCTGGCACTGCTCATCTACCTGAGAGAGAGAGGGGGACGGTGGGGGGGAGAGACAGAGAGAGACAGAGGGGAGAGAGAATATAAATGCCAGATAAGAACACTTAAAGACATTTTTAAAGAAAAATGACACTAGATTCCAGTAGAAGCCTATACAAAAATAAAATATGAACTAAATTTCAGAACGCTTTAAATAATTATTAAATATTGTCAATTTACTGAAAATCTATCTAGGTTGTTTACAGACAGTACTATCACTGGGTAGTAAATTGAGCTAATGAGCTTATTACCTATAAGACCTATTTACTCTAACCCAAATCATGTTTATGTATTTTATATATACATATGTTTTGCAACTGGGGACAGTTGATTTCAAATATTGGTATGGGTCTATTTAAAGCTGAGTTTTATAATTCAGAAGAAAGCCATATATATATACATATATATGTACACATATTTGTATGTAATCAAGGAAATAAGAAATGTGAATCAGTGAAAAAATTTTAGTAAATCACAATTTGCTTGAATCAGTTATAAGCCAGAATGAGAGTACAAATAACTACTAATTTTCTGTACAAATATTAATATTAAACTGCTTTCATGGCTAAGGCCTTATTGAGGTATATTACTTCACCTCCTTAGAACTATATTTTTTCATTTGCTAACCAATGTAAGCAGCACCAGATTATTTTCAATCACTCTCTTTAGAAAGAGCTTACATAAAATCAAATGTGCCTATAGAACTAAAGATGAACATGTAATTAACTGATGTAGAAATAGTCAAAAACTTTGACACAGGTTCTTATGTATTTTGAACAATAGTTAGTGGCCTATGAAGACAAGACTCAAAGAGCTCATAACTACCAAAATCAACCTAAACAGGGTGAGAAACTTCAGGCAGTGGTTAGTCGCTGTATTTTAAAGACTTTAACAACATTCTTAATTTAAAGGAACTTAATAGGAGATCCTGCAAATGGCACTGAGAAATGGGAGTGCTCTCCTCATTTCCCATATTCCATTTATTCCTGGCCCTATTTTGCTGATGTTTGTTTCCTCAGCCCAGAATAATCTTTCCTCAGTTTTGTGCTCCTACTCATCCTTTGTGAGCTACTTAAAATGCTACCTCCTTCATTGAGTTTTCTAAGATTTCCTATTAAGAACTAAGCATTTATTTCCTTGGGTTCCCAAAGATAGTTCTGGAAGAAAGATAATCAAAAGCAAGTTATTGCAACACAAGGACAACATACACACTGTGCACACTGCAGAGGGACCACCAGCTCTACAATGAGTAAATAGAGAAGGACTTCCCAAAACAGGCATTTGATTTGTGTCTTTCAGAATTGTCCAGAATAAAAGCGAATAGCAAAGGGGATCCTAAGTGGAAGGAATAACATGTGTGAAGTGTAAGTGTGGAGATACTGGCTGATTCAGAGCTTGATAAATGATCTTACTGTGGGTGAAGTTCAGGTTGCACAGGCTGAGTGGTAAGAAGGAGACTAGAGGGATAATTGTGCTGAGAAAAACCTCGCCTGCAGGCTTCAATTCGTTGTCTACTGTAACCAGCAGGCTATGACACATTCTCACGAACTATCACAGTTACTCAGAATCAGCCTGAGACTCATCAGTGCTTCAACAGGACTGCGCACTACAGGCTGGGGTGTCAATTTGATCAGCTGTCAGTCTGGTGCAATTCTCAAAACATAAACCTTAATTCATCCAGGTTTTCCACCAAAAGCCTCGTTGAAGGCAAGTGAGAATGCTGTCATTATAGGAATTCCCTTGAATCTGAACTAGTTTATTTTTTGAGTGAATTAATGATAAACTTTAATACTTTATCCATTTTTGATGTGTTATTTACAGCTTGCTTCACAAAATTACATTTTCAAATTGCTTGAATTTCAGGAGGCAACATGATTAAATTTGCCTTAGAATGACCATTTTTGAAAGGAGGAGTGAAAGGGGAGAATTATAAGAGGCAGAGAGATCAGGCAGAGGCAACTTCTTTAAGACAATGGGGACCTAAACCGAGGAAGGGATGGCGCACATGGAGAGGAGGGGGACCGACATTGGATAGCATGGTCTTTGAAATAGGAAAAAACAAATGAGAGGAGATTGGGGATTAAATTCCAGTTTTAATGTTCACCAGCTGTTTAATCTCATATACCTAACTTCTCAGAGCCTCAGTTTGCCTCATTTGTAAAACAGCACATTAGTAAGTCAACACAGAGGTGTTGTACAGATTAAATTAAATCAGGAATGAAAAACACAGGGCCTGGCACAAAATAAATGTATACTGAGAGGCTCAGACGCTTCTACGTAGGGCTTCTGAAAGGCGACGGGGTCATTAACCCAACAGCAGAGTACAGAAGAAAACACGTTTGAGGAACAGATAATGGGTGGTGTTTGGCGACTTTCAGGAGCTCACAGGATACCTAGGTAATTGGTATGATTAGCAGTTGAAAGCATTGGTTTGGAGCTCAGAAGTGCTGGGGCTGAGGAACCATTTTTCAGTTATTGGTGAACTGAAACCATAGGTGGTGCTGTGTGTAAACTTTTTAGGAAAAGTGTGTACAATGTAGAGAGAGCATAGGCAAGGTCTCTGGGACCCACTACACTTCAGGAACAGAGAACTGAATTAGGAAAAGAGAGAAGGAACAGATAAAGAAGTAGACAGAGCGATTCCACTTAATGATGTGAAATATCCAAATAAGGCAAACCCACAGAGATAGAAAGCTGACCAGTGTTTGCATGCGTGGAAACCAAGATGGACTGAAAAAGCACACCGTGGCTCTTTGCGGGGCTGGGGCTTCTAAAACTCGAGGGCGAGGATGGTTGCACAAACCAATAAATTAATAAAAATCACTGTATTCCAAAAGATGAATTTTATGCTATGTAAATTATACCTCAAAAAGTCTGTTCTTTTTTTTAGGCCAAAAGAGGTACGAATAACAGGATTAAATAAATGTGGCAGAGAGATTAAGCAGGTTGAAGACTGAAAGTAGACCATTTCATTTGTCAATCATTATGTAGCTTATAAAGACATTTTCAGTGGAATGAAGAGGTAGCAGACAGCAGGATTAAAAAAGGAAATAAGCTAAACTGCTGTGGGATGAGGACTGGAGAGGATGAGCTAGTAGAGACAAGAAATGTCATCTCCCCATTGCCAAAGTCCAGCTGTGAAGGGAAGAAAAATTATAGAGTGGTTGCTTTCATGAGGGCAAGACCATTTGGGCATAACTGGAGACCAAAGGGAAGGAAGTAATAGAAAAAGCAGAGGTGAAACATTAGAGGAGGCTGGCAGAACTAGATTCGGAAGGAAGTGGAAACATACAGGGAGGGATTGGTTTCCGCTTGGTGCTGGTCAGAAGTAGGGACTTCACTTTATTGGTCACGGTGGAGGAGCAGTGAATGGATCGTTTGGTCTGGAAATCTAAGGAAGTCAAGGCAGTTAGGCTAAATGGCCTCATACTTTCTTCCAGTCAGATGTGAGGTGAGAGCACTGGCTGAGAGTAAAGGATGGAAACTGGTGTAAGATGTTTCAAAATTGCTATTGAGTGGGCTCCAGTAGCATACGGGGGACCCAGCTGAGGCAGAGACCCATAGCTTTGTAACAGCACCGATCAGCCCAATTGCATGATTTTCTGCAGGAGCATCTGGAAGCTTGCAAAGTAAAGTTGAGAGAACTGAGTGTTGGATTGATGTAATATTGGGAATTGACAGGGTGAGTCAGGGTGGAGGCGGGAGCTTGAGGGCACAGAGAGTGGAATGCAAATGAGGAACCAGGAGCTGCTGAGGGAAGAGGGAAAACCTGAGGGGAAGGAGAGTGACCGGGAGAGCTCTGCTGAGATTAGCAGGACGGAAGGCACTGCCAGATAGGAAAACAGATGAAGTGAAAGCTGGGAAGATGAAAGGACACAAGGTCCTTCTGAGAAAGTGTTGTTTGCAAAGCTAAACGTTTAGCCTTAAACCCAAAGCTCTGGAGGCAAGCGTGTTTCATGGAAGTAGATACTGAACCAGAAGCCAACAAGGTGCATTTTTGGCAATAAAGATGCAAAAAATGAACTCTGCTCTGTACCTTTTCCACCATTTCAAATTCTGAAAAAAAAAAAAATTCATCAACAGGATAATCCTGTCAGTTGTAATAGCTCTGCTGAACCATGAAAATTTGGGGCTAAATGACAGAAATGACAAAAGGTGGAGTAAAGATGTAGAAAGGAGGTAGCGGTTACCTGAGATTTCCAGGGTCTGGCCATGCCTTCCCTGCACAGGGGCAAGAACTCGGAATATTACCGACAGAGAGTGGACAGAGGAAATGTGGGAAGGCCGGATGGTGAGGGTGCGAGGTCGGGCGGGAGCACGGGGAGCGTGGGAGTGAGAAGGGAGGACTCTAGCAAGCTACCTAACTTTGCTTGGCTTTACCCCTGAGTGACCTTGCTGGCTCCACCTCCCACTAAACCAGCGCCTGCCATCTGGAATGATGGGTGATTTGCATGCACCTGGATGCACTGGGACCTCAGTACTTTTCTCATAATAATATCTTCAAGAAACCGGGACCTTTGAGAGATAGAACCCTAGTCTACTACTAGAAGGAATTCACAGATTGTCTAGTACAACCCTGTCAAAACAGTGCCTCAGAAGAAGCTCTCTGACGCAACTTGTTAAAAGGCATCAGACAAGACAAATATGCCCTGGCCAGGTGACTCGGTTGGAGCATCTTCCCATACACCAAACGGTTGCAGGTTTAATTCTCAGTCAGGGCACATACATAGGTTGCAGGTTTGATCCCCTGTTGGGGCTCATACAGGAGGCAACTGATCAATGTTTCTCTCTCACGTCAATGTCTTTCTCTCGCTCTTTTTCTCTCTCTATAAAATCAATAAAAACATATCCTCAGGTGAGAATTTAAAAGAACAAAACAAAACGAGACAGATCTAAGAATGGACCCAAAAGTGTCATTTCAGATTCTGTGTATTTTAAATGAGCCACGTGAATTGCCTGAGACTTCAAAGAGATCCACGGTTAAGGAGATGACTTATTTTTAAATAGTTTTGTTCTGTGATTAGGATAGTGTAAATTTTGGGGCCATAGTAAGAGTGTTCCAACACAACCACTTATTTTTGTGTGTATCTACACATATATACTTATATCACATTTTAGTAAAACCACTTACTGTTTTAGGGTTTGTATGGTGCCTTGGTGAATAAAGGGCTTATAAGTGAGTACATGCTCCGGGGTGGAGGATATAGAACCACACGCCAGGGATTCCATCCCCACAGAATGCAGGAACACAGGCAGAGGCCACCTTGTTGATAAAGGCCAGCACATAGGTACCATACCTCCTCTGATGACTTTAGAAATGCCACATAGGTTTGCAAGACTTGTGACCTGGAGCTGATGCTTTGGCTGAGTATGTTTAACTCTTCCTCTAGCCATTTAGCTTTAAAAGAAAACGATGGCACTTCATCAGGTTCAAATTCATTTTTCTCTGTCATAAGTTTTGCAGCTGCTTCTAATTCATGTGATATTTCCTATGAAAGCAAAGCACAGAGGGCCAGAAGCTGACAGGGGAATCATGAACATTCACATTTCATTACCTTCTGCACATCCATCTATTACGAGTATTAATTGAACTTGTACCAAGACTCTTCTCAATAAAATTAAAAAAAAAATAGTGTCTTAAAATGAAAACCATCTCAAATTATTATTTCACTCTATCAGCTACACTTCTTATTTAGAGTATTCTAAATTTTGTGTTACAAATAGAAGAAAAGTTGTTTGGTGTGAAAGTTGGTAAAACAAAATGGCAAAAATACTTTAAATGACTTAAATAAAATAATTATATATCAGAATTTTTTTGAAATTAACAATAGCCCTAGCAAATTCTTAAATTAATTTTTATATACAATATGGCAAATTTATATAAATTGCTCATTTTTTAATTTATAAAAAATGACATTGATTATACAGTCTTATTTGAATTTCTATCTAGAAGAACTTTTAAACAAATGTAGGGGAAGTGTTACATATGAGGTCTAAATAGCCTGAAGGGTCAGTGAATTTGACTTGTTTAGGGTTGCTCTCCTATGTTTTATTTTAAGTGCAATTTCTGGCATGTGAAATCTAATCACTGATTAAATGAATGAGTAATTTTATATGCATTACATATACAATTGCCATAGAAAGAGCCATGTGAAATTTCATGTGATACCAAGCTAGGAATCAAGCAAAAATGAAAGAAAAAAAGCTTCATTCTCATTTGCTTCCCTACTTGTATTTAATATGCTTCCCCAGTCCTCTGCTGAATGATGGTAATTTTAATTTACAAGTGCTGCTTCCAGACAGCACTTGCGGAAAGAGAATGAAGGGAGTTTCTCCCATGCAATTTCTTCCCTAATTCTAAAAATTTTGGAATAAAAATAATGAATTCAGACATACATTTTATTATAAACATTTTATTTTATTTTTTTATCTGAGTCTAACTTTATTTGATAACATTATAGTCTATAAGGTTTAGGCTATTGGTTTTATTATTTTTTAAATTAAATTTATTGGGGTGACATTGGTTAATAGGATCATGTAGGTTTCAGATGTACATTTCTATGATAAAAAATCTGTGTATTACACCCAAAGTCAAACCACCTTCCGTCACCATATATACGAGTATAATATATAATGTATGTAAACATTTTAAATAATGAATTTTAAAAAACATTTAAAAATGGGTTTTTCTGGGAGCTTTGGCTGGGGATGCTTCTGCTAAGAGGGCCTCTCTGCTGAGAACTGATGGAAGGCACAGCCATTTCCTGTGGGCTTTGGCGAGCCGAGCCGGGGGAGACTCTTGACTCAGCTTTCCTGCACACCTGCTGGGTCCGGCTGGACTCAGTGCAGGTTCGGAGCTGCCAGCAGGAATATTTGAACCCAAGTCCCACGTGAAAGGGGTGAAAGGGGACTAGAGAAGGTGTTAGGGGGAGGAGGGCAATTTCCGTCCCTGAAGCGTTAGTGTGCAAACAAGATTTGCATCCTGGGATATTGTACTAACGCTTCTGGTAATTTTCTTTTGTAACTTACTCCAGCAGAAAATCACAAGTAGTCATAAAAGCACTCTCTCTGTCCCCTCTGGGACCCCAGAAGGACTTGCTAATATCTTTCAGGACAGGAAATGGGACCAAATGAGTGTTTAATGCCAAACTAGGATGTTGAGTTACAGTGAGCTCAAAACCCCTCATTAGTGCACATATAAATATAAATTATTGAAATAAACAGAAGAGTAGGAGTTTTTAAGTCATTATTTGCCATAATATTAATTTAGAATTTCAACTTTCAAGTAAACTAGGATTAAGTTTTATAGCTACTGAATATAAAGGAATCATCTTTACAAAATCATAACCATAATAATAATTCATATTGTATTTACCTTAGCTTGGATATCTAGTTCCAGATATTTACTCAAAATCTTCTCTGACTCAGAAAGGCTGGAACCAACATCCATTGCATTGGAAAGTACTGGACTGATTTCCTGAATTGACATTTCCACCTTTAGGAAAAAAGAATATATTGTAGCCTTAGTAATGTGTATTTGCATATATGTATCTGCATATGCATAGAAAAGGTAAATACTACTCTCTATATTCCCATTATACTCTAATATATAAGTATTAATCTAAAAATAGTTTTAAATATTTTAGAATTTTATATTTAAATTAATAATGCTGCTCTTCATATGAGATAACATTACTGACCCCACCAGCAGAAGGTATATATTTTAAAATATCCTTTTTATTAACAGCAATGAGATAAAAGCAATCATCCATGCCCTCTAAGAACTTATTATCTGTATTATCTAGAAAGGATAATGCACTTGCCAACACATGAGCAGAGATGAATTTATCTGGTTAATTAACTCACAATCATCCACTGTCAGTTGAATGGGGCCCAATTTTCAGGCACAGTCTGAAGTAGAGGTCTAGGGCCTGGGTATTAGATCACCTTATGGGTTGCTCTTTTTAGGGCTGGGGGACCCTCGGGCAGCACCAAACCCCATACATGTGATAATAAAACACAGGAACACACTTAGGTGACTTAACTGATGAATGTAAAAGGATATATTGTATATATATACTGAATACTCAGTATATATGAATCAATGAATAAAGTGACCTTTAAAGGTTCTATTCCATTCCAGGTACTGTCTTCATCCTGGGCTCCAACTAGAGTCCATACTTCCCAGAGTCAAGTTGGTTCTAAGTTGGCAGTGAGACAATTGCAACAGCTGTTTGAGTTCCTACTGTGTTTCCACCACCACCAAATTAGCCTGACTCCCAAGCTCCAGGGAATGTGGCTCCACAGCTGCCACCATATTTGGAATCTCCCTGGACTCAGGCATCAGAACAAGGTTCAGATTCCCAAGTTTCTGGATCAATAACAGGTGGGGAAGCAATTTAAATAGAGACACGATTATCTAATAACCTCTCCCGCGAAGTCTACTAACTCTGCTTGTTTTAAGTCAGGCATATAAATCCATTTTTCACATAAAAATGTCATTAAAAATTTGAGACCCAATCTATGCAATGGGATTCATCAGCACTAATGTCATTGAGCTATTACAAGTTTTTGCTAGGTGCCCCACCTACAGATAAGTAATATTTTATTTAGTCAAACAGTGTCTTTGAAAGAGAAAATAAAATTCTCCCATACCCAGCTGGTCTATTCCCTTTGTGGAAAGGACTTGCACATGTGTGCTAGGGTTCAGAATGACCGTGTTCATGGCACTGGCCTGGTTCAATAACATACAATAATGGCGATTTACTCTGGGAACCGGAGAAACACATCATTTTCTGTATCAATCTAATGTCCTCATGTTGTATGCCACCATGTTAACTCAAACCTGTGCATACTGGAGCCATGCTGAGAATCATGTAAATCAAGGACACCATCAAAATATGCATGTGGTTCAGTTAACACAGTTCTGCACAAAGCGAGGACTGCCTTTGTGCATGCGTGTTCAGGGTTGGTGGGGAGTTGGATTATATAAACAGTTTGGCAACCTGGGGCCGGGATGGTTGATGAGCAACAGTGAACTGCACCTCTGTTCTGTTCAATGATAAAACCTAATGGGGAACTTGAGCGACGTCTAAGGAGACACACGCCCTATTCTCCCCTTAGGCCCATATTCTGCAATTGCCACATCATCTATTATCACTAAATAAGGAGTTCTTCTAAATAGTAGCTTAGGGAGGAGACATTTTATGCAACTACCTTTCTTAGATAGCCCTCCACTGAGGCTGTGAATTGTTGTTTCTTAAGAGCAAATTCCTTGTGCGCCGAACACTGTTCAGTCAGGTGATCCACTCGTCTCTGAATACATCCCATCATCTCATGGACGCCAGTCACCTGAGAGCTGAATGGAAGATGCCAGCTATTAGTTTACTACTCCACCCCCACAGAGAAGCCCCAGCAATGGGGAACATTGGAATGCAGACTTGCTCTTTCATGAGAGGCATGAGTTGACAAAAGTTACCAAGCTTCAGGTTGTAGGATACAAAAAGTTAAGTAGCTATCATCCTGGTATAGAAAAGAGCAAAACCAAATTGTATTCCTTTGCTTAAGTCACTCAGTCCTGAGGGAAAAGATGAGTTATGGGTTTTATAGCCAGGTCTAATCTTCTTCTCTAAAGGTTTGCTTTTTAATATTTCTCTAAGCTATTTTAAGACCCTTATGGCAAAAGCACAGTTTGTTTGCCAAGAGTTTTCCTGGGGGTGTTATTTAAAAGTTTCATTTATCTAAAGAAGCTCTTTGAATAGAAATGTGGATTAGCCAATTAACAAAACATTTACTAATCCAACAGGGTAAAATATTGATGTAACACTAAGGGCTTTGTTCTTGATGATTATGAATGCTCAAGGCGGCATTCATTAGAAGAAAATCAAGTTATCACCAACAATTAGGAACCTAATGTGCTTGTTCATAAAAAAAGAAACCTGTGTGGACTTCTGAGAAATAAGAAAGTGACATTAGAGCTCATAAAATGAAAATGCCTTTAAAACAATAAATGAGCTTAGAGTTGGACCCCATTTGCTCTAGTCTGGAGGCAGATCAGCAAGTTTCCTAATCATTTCAAACTTGGGCCTAACGGACAACGAAAGAACACTGCTGATGGAATGAAGCCTCTTTAACTTTTCAACCTATTCCTAAGACACAGCCTGTTCTACTGTGTAAGACGGTGAAGTCTTTTACTTCCTCTCAGACATTTCCTTCAAATACTAGTAAAGATTAACATGATAACTCCTAAATTTAATTACCTAGAGTTTAAAAAGATCTTAGAATGAGGTACATATTTTGGTACTTTTACCTCAAATAATTAATATATGACTCTGTAAAAATGAATTTAATTAGTAATGAAATGAGGGCAAGATCCCAAAGGACTGAGAGGTGAAGTAGCATCATGGGAATGATGTTGAGGCTGCTGAAGAGGTGAGAGGTCATCAGGCAGCTTGAGAATCTAGTCAAATGAGCCCAGGATTCAAGTGTATACTGTGAGTACCACTCAAGTCCCAGAGAAGTTTAACTGGGTGGATCTTATTACTGACACATATTGTTACACACACATGACATTGAAAACAATCAGTTTTGTATATTAATAACTCAAAGATAGTGAAGAGTATAATTAAGAAGTCAGGAGAATTTTAGAAATAATTCTTATAAGCCCACAAATTCTTTAAAAGCAGTGCATTGGTAATGTTAATCATATTTTAACTACATTTTAGACTTTGAGACATTATACGCTAAAAAAGCACCTAAAAGCCCAATTGTCCTATATCTTATAGGTTCCAAGTTTTCTATAGTATATGGAAATCTGGAACGAGAAAAATAAATAAAAACGAAAAAGTGAATAAGCAATGTAGAAAGATGGCACAGAGAAAAAAGTTTGTGAAATAAATGGGTATACATTTTCTAAACACGGTTATCAGTAGAGCCTTGGCTCTGGAGCTTAATTCGTTCTGTAAAAATGTTCGAGAAGCGATTTGAAAACTGACCCTCCTTTGTGGCCTGAGAGGCGCATGACTGCTCACACAGGTATCAGCATGAAAAGGTTGTTGGGGAGAGAATCAAGGCCTGAAGTTTTGTTAGAGAACCAAGACATTTTTTTCTGTGAACAATTTGGTCGAGAACTAAATTGTTTGAGAACCAAGACAGTAGAAAAGCAAGGTTTGACTGTACTTACTGTGACAAGTCACTATTTTTCATGTTTTAAACCATCTCTTTCCTAATTTTCATAACTACCCTATGATCTGGGTATAATTGTTATCTAATTTTGCAGATGAGCAAACTGAGGAACAGAAAAGCTCAGTAACTTACCCAGGTCACAGTTAAGTGGCTGAGCTGGGATTTGAACCTATGCATCTGCTCTCAGAGTCCTCACTCTTTACCACCTCATAGTATCTTTTCTGAGTCTATAACACATGATAGAGGGGCAGGGGTATCCTCCCTTTAAAATTTCACCGTCCCTGGAGTTGAGTGTTGATGGAAACAGGGTTAGCTTGGCTAGTATGCTCTGGAAATTTGCTGGCTTCTCTAGATAATGCAACGTCTGTTTGCGGTTTTCGAAGTGGCCACTAGAGGGGCATCGTACCAGCACGGAGAAAGGAAATGGGGAAACAAAACAAAATCTAGTGCATTCCTTCTGTAAAAATAATGCTCTTTAGATGAATCACCACCAACCAAATGGGATCTCTCTTTTTCTGTCTTTGGAAGGACCATTCATTTTCCATTTTTCAATGACCTAGGAGATTTGGTCTCATTATGGGGTGATTTGTGCTTTATCATGTGTATCAATTATATTGTAAATTCTTTAAGGGAAAGGACATTTGTTTTATTAATATATCTCTGCAGCCCTGAGCACATAGCCTTGTAAGTAGCAGATTAATGAATGTTTTCAAGTTAAATAAAACACACTTTGACAAATATTTAAGGGAAGAGAAGACAAATTTAAGGAACAAGAACCCATGCACGGATAATCACTGTATAAAAATGTCACTAGTAACAGTTTCCAAACAATGACGACTTTGCCCTTTGCCCACTTATCGAAGTTTTAGGCTATCAGAAGACTCCCCGGTTTCTTTTTTGATTGTTTAGCATTTATAGCTAGGTGGACTGGAACTTCCCTCCTCTATTTGAAGCCTTAGAGGGACAGACTGAATTGCCTTGTTTCCCTGTGCATTATTGCCTGGGCGCTGTGCGTTCTACTCTCACTTGGGGCTTACACCCCTTCCTCAGTGTGGGAACTGCTCCATTATCTAGCCTACCTTAGCCAGCTCCTATTTTCCTCCCCCTAAGTCCTCAGCTAGATCATCTCTGGCTGTTCTGGCATTAATCTCTTCCCTGGGTCTGACTGGAATGTGTCTGTCACACACCTCATCCGAGTGCCACTCCCTCTCTATCCTTCTTAGTGAAAACCAAATCTGCAGGTTAGAACCCGCCCTGAGTCCATCATGTTTAGTTAGAAATTTTATACACTGATTCCACACTTTCTTTTTGAACATCCCCAACATTTTACAACATGTATAGCACAGCATGCACACTGGCAATTTCCTCAGAGCCTGTAAAGCAGATGGTTTGATCAAAGGAAAAATATTACCTCACTCTCTGCCAGCAATTCTTACATGATCTGAAAATAAATGACTGCATTTCCATAAGTCACTCAGGAATGAGTCCTATTATTTTGCAATCATATTAAATAAATGATGGGATAAGAACTAAGAATGAATAGCAGAAACTTGTTGAAACAAGTGTCATCAATTTGTTCTCATGCTGAAGCCACACTGATCATGTGATCATGTCTGATGGGGTGGGAGAGGGGGCTACCATGGACTAGATGTCTAGGTCTAAGGATCTGTGACTCTACCGTTTCACGGGAAATGCTGACTGACCTTTGAGCTTTCTCTATGAGAATGGATTAGATGGTACCTGACTGTGGTCTGAGTGTGAGGTTCATCAGATTTTTCCTGATGTTGACTTTGACTTTTCCGCATCGCAGATACTCAGAAATAACAGACGGTGAAGGTTTCTTCAGACATTTGTTAGAAACTCCATTATGGGAGCATTTTCCCCCTTGTTCAGTGAGCCAGTGGAGGAGAGGGAAAGGGGAAGAAAAATGATGGATTTTTTTCTTTCCAAAGAGCAGAGACATACTGACTTCTGGCTCAAAAATAGACTGTTCTATTTGCTGTATGGAAACAGTTGTCCTGTCTTTGCATCTGTCACAAACCGGGGCTGGGTGAGGGGAGCAAGTCCCAATGTTAATGTATCCTAATGATTCTTTCCTGGGAACGGCAAGTTGCTTTCAAACCTTTCATAAATTACTATTGGCAGCCCATCTGGATTAGGAGCTGAACCAGATGGTAAGCACTTGACAGCTTACTCTATCTCATCGGAAGGGATCAGCTGACCATGTTTTTCTTTTTGCCCACAGACAAATTATACTTTGAAAATGGAAAAATATAGATCTTCCTTATCTTTAGCTTGCTGCTTCTTTTGACAGGGACCCAAACTGTGTCCCTTCATGTTTATAATCTTTATTTTGGAGGAAACAAGCGCCGCTCCCTAGTTTTTACATCTACTTTGAGAAAGTGCCATCTGTATTGTACAAATGAAATGTATGCTTTTAATTTTTTCTGGTTTAAGTTACACACATCAGGAACCCCTTCCCACCAAATAAATATCTCACACACACACACACACACACACACACACACACACCTTTAATATACACATAACAAAGAAGAAACAGAAAACAGGAAGTGGCGCTGAAGCTACCGAGCTCCTAGGTGCTGACACAGATGCACACGGAGACGGCCATGACTTCCATTCCTATGAGGCCACAGAGACCTATGTGATGGGTACTGTAGCTAGGATTCTACCTGAAATAAGCAACAGGGATGGGGTTCTCTCTCCTTGTAAAAGGAGGTTGAAAAATGCTGTAGCGTGCTATTGGGGCAAAGAAATCATGTACAGTCAGGGAGTCAGAAATCACCCCTCAGTCCCCACTTGATTTTCTGAACGCATCTCTGAGAGCCACGGGGGGCTAGTGTGACCTTGATCAAACAACAGGAGACCGATTCTGGACTAGAGACTCTGGGAGTTCAGGTGGAAGTCACTGCAAAGCTGTTAAGGATGAAAGAACAAAAAAGAAAACAACAACAACAAAAAAGGGGAGGTGTTATGGGAAGGCCAAAAAACAAACTTCCTACTCCAGATGAGACTACAATCTAAAATAATTTCAAAACACATGAGGAAAATACATCCTAAGACACTAAACAATCAAGAGATAAATGTACTCTATCTGAAATGAAAACAAATAGAACAACCTGAAAATGACTTTATCATAAGTAAATTTGAGAT